GGTGGCGGTGGTTGAGATTGCGCCCATCGAGAGCCTCCGACTCTGGTTACATTCGTGCTGGATGATGTGGGAGACTCTGCTTTTTTCACGTTCTCGAAACAGGCTCTTGGGACGAGGCCAGAGACTTTTTGGGCAGGGTTTATAACCTGGAAATACTGTGTATCGTCATCATTTATAACCTGGAAATGAAAAGAAATATGTTAGAAGTGCTTGAAGTCAACTTTTACAAACACTGTACAGCCATGTGTGGGCCTAGTTGAAGAATCCACATCCAAACAAACCCAACGTACAAAGAAGAAGTCTCCTTCCACAAAGCTAAGTTCATTCCTATTCTTTCCATAGTAAGCTGTATGTGCTTTTATGACCCTCTTTGGCGCAATGGCAAACAGCTTGTCGTCACTACTAGTAGCTGAGTTTGAATTCGTCAGTACTGGTTGTTTTGCAGCAGTTGGAGATGGCGAGCTCTTCTGAGCGGCGGTCGCCCTAGTAAACCAACTCATCCAGGTTCCTTGCTAATGAGCGGGAATTGTGAGCTCGTTGGTCCCTATCCAAGTTTTGTAATAGCTTATTTTTTAGGAGGACAAGCACCCCACTTACGATTTCCTTTTGCCGAGAGGCTTGTTCAAGGTGTAATAAAGTTACGAGATCAGCACAGGAGCCTCAATTTAGCTGCTCTAGGATGATTGCTGAGTGTTGATTGACTGAACGTTCAGAATGCGGCAACCACGTATAAAAAACGAAAGAGTCTGGTCGAAAGAAAGGAAACAAACCAGGTAACCATGGCAAGTCAAGGAGGACAATTAGAAGCCGAGACAATATAGTTTCGGGCTTTTGAACCGATTTACGGCGATACATTATTAATAGAATGCTGTTTTTATACAATATGCTATTATCGTGCAAATGCTTTGTGCTTCGTACAATTTTGTCTGAGGTTTTAAGTAGAGCATTAAAACTTATTCTTGAGCTTGGTTGAGGTCGTCATCGGTCTCTGGAGTGATCAAACTCATTCCTGCACCTATGCGTGCCAAACGGTCAGCATTTTCATTCCCAACATGGCCAGCATGAGCTAAGAAATGACAAGCAGGGTTAGTCAAACATGGAAAATGGTTAACCAAACATGAACAAAGTCCCACGAAACTCCGTACTAAAGTACCTACCAAGAATCTTTTCAAGTTTGATTTGACAAGGTGCACGGTCAATTTCAAGCTTCAGAGCCATCCAGAGTTCCTACCAATCAACGAAAACAATGAGCCTTAAATCTTATTGTAGAGTCGATGTAACATGGTAACCAACCTTGTTCGCGACGGGAGCACCTGCGGAATTCTTCCAACCATTCGACACCCAATTCGCCATCCATGAGTTTATTCCTTGTTGGGTATATGCACTGTCGGTATATATTACGAGAGCGTCATCTCGAGTTAGGTTCTTGTCTGCTGCGACTGCAATTTGTATGGCTCTGGCTACTGCCCAAACTTCAGCTCTCTAAAAGCGAGAAGAAAAAAGGGTATATGGAGGTTGAATAGTCGAGCAATAGGAACCCAAAAACCAACCTGGTTGGTCTGAGGATCTTCCGGAAGCTTCTCTGAAGTGTTTCGAGGATCATCTTCTCCAAACCTGTTGGAATGATCAAGAGTCCTGATTTAATATTGGTTCTGATATTAAGCAAAGCAAAACGTCTTGCAAACGTCCTTTGATATTACTAACCAGATACCGCAACCAGCCCGAGCCTTCTTCTGCCCGTTCGAAAGACAACTTCCATCAGTATAGATTTCAATTGTCCTACCCGTGTGTGTTGGCTGGCTCTGAGATGATGACGATATTCCTCGAGTACCAGAGACTGTGCGCACATTCCTTTTGCCAGTATTGACGAATTCGTGAGCATCCTTTTCAGTATCAAATTTCTTGAATTTGGCAGCTGGAAATTTCATAACTTGTAATTGGCATTCTTTCCAAGTGAGATAGACGCCTAGTGAAACAATGTGAAATCGTTTAATAATGGTTTTGAGCTTTGAGGGCAACGTCTGTATGAGTTGATGTCAGACAATTGAATGGTGGCATCATTTCACAGCCCAAGCTTCCTAATAGAAGCTGCAAGGATGCAAATCCGTCTTCTCATGCGCAAGCCGAGCAGTTCAGGTGTTTCTTGGAGCAAATCGCATCACCAACATCATCCATCTTACGAACAATCAAACAAGCTTGGAAGTTTAGCTCCACTCACCTGGCTTTCTGCCGGCTGCGACTGCGTAATACGGCATTCTTAGTTTATATAGTCAGCAGAGTAGCCTCTCTGCCATGAACAACTAACGTGCAAAGTGTTTCTCTAAGCTTTGCATTGAGTTGTAAACGCGCAGGAGAGGATACTCAGAAGTTACAGGAAAGATATATGAGGAATTTCATACAAATATACGTGTTTACATTTGCTCTACAGCATCAGAATAAATCAAAATCTATCCAAAATCACGCGTATTTTACTCTACAATACCAACATTTGGAAGTATTGTCTCAACAACACTCCTACGTCGATCAGCTGGCGGCTGCATGGCAACAGCTCGTAGTAATTTCGAATTGTGTTCTCCAGTCTCATCTACTAGAGCACCAAAAGCAGATCCTTCAATGGAAAGAAGGGCAGCGGGCGAATCGAATTCTTTGACATTGCCAAAGTCCAATAACATGACACGGTCATAGTCTACGTATATATGATGGAACAACGGTGAGATCTCAATACATGAATTTGAACAAACAGCCTCTCAGCCAAAAGCACTTATGAGCATACCAATTATGGTGTTCAAACGATGTGCAATAGTCAAAATGGTCGTATTGGCGAAATCCTCTCGCAATACGCGTTGAACAGTAGCATCACTAAGAAACATGAATTCAGGAAGTTAGAGTCCGTGTCTTGTCCGGTTTGCTTTTTTTTTGTAATAAACTCTGACACCCACGTTTCGTAGTCAATATTAGAAGTGACCTCATCCAGAACCAGGATCTTTGGACGTCGAAGCATAGCTCGAGCCAAACACAGAAGCTGACGTTGCCCTTGAAAGATTCAGAAATAAGTTCTGAGTTTGAATCAAACATCTTCAAGCATTCGGCTACTCACCAACAGAAAGGTTTTCACCACCTTCGGTTACAGCTCCATCCAGTTTGCCATCCATTTCAGCAATTTTAGGCTTGAGAGAGGCACGATCCAGCGCCTCCCATAGAGCATTGTCAGAGTGCTCGTTGAATGGATCGAGATTGTACCTTGGTGTTGGTGATGGTGAGGAGTGCAAACAGCGTCAAAAGTCAATGGTGGTTACCTAATGGTCCCCGAAAACAAAATGGGATCTTGTGGTATCATTGTTATGCCACGTCTCAAGTCTTTCAGTCCCATGGTCATTATATCTTCTCCATCGACTACGATACTACTGCCAGAAGCAGGTTCTACCATTCGGAAAAGAGCCTGCGCCAAACTGGACTTTCCACTGCCTGAAGAACAACAAGAATTAGATTGTGCAAAAGTGGTATGCTGAAAAAAATGATTCAGTCCCAAATAGTCACCTGTTCGTCCAACAATTCCAATCTTCTCTCCATCTTTAATGTCCAAAGATATATTCTTCAGAATGAGTGGTCCATTCTCGCTATACTTCATCTGCAAATCCTTGATGACAATCGTGCCAGCCTTTGGCCAGTTCTGGGGTGGTCGATGATCTGGATTTATCGGTGCCGCTTCTTGCTCCAAATAATGGGCATAATAGTAAACTCGTTCAACCGAGTTCATTTGGATTTCACACTGTGGTTTGGGAAGTGGATGTAATTAGTACAAAATCAAAACCAGTCAAGTGAAAACGTGTGTGGAACTTACATTTACAAACTGCTGCACACACATAGACAATGTCTGAGTTACTTGTTGGGCATAGGAGAGAGCCAGCCCAATGATAGCAGCTGATACGGTGAATCTGTCCAGGATTCCAAACATCGCTGCAAAAAACACCATTACGTTGCCCATCACTTGCGAATTGAAAAGATGATTAATACAGATAAAATTGCTGCAGTGTCTTTGGTCACTTACTGTTCAGCCTGATAGACAGCCAATACTGAGCGGAAATTGTCATATAATACGGACAGCTAATCACAATTTCAGTTTAGTCGAACCTCTACTATTGCAACAACGACCACCACTCACTTGTTGGTATCGATAAGGGAATCATTGTGTTTGACAAACGTTCCCTCTTGCGAGAATGCTCGGATTGTGCTGAGACCCGTTAACGTTTCTCCAATATAAGCATACAACGGGCTTCTTGTAATCGAATCCAATCGTTTCAGCTCCCTAGCAGTCTTACGATACACCTGCTGAATAAACCAGTATATAACTAGCATGGGCAATAGAACAGATCCAAAAATCGGTGTAGCATATAGAATCAACGCAAACGTTGATATAGCTACAGGCACATCAGAGTTTGATTTTCAGCAAATAGTTGCGCAAAACAAGAACCGAAAAAAATCATACCAGAAGCAAATGTCGTAATGAATTGACGTAGAGAATCCACCAACTGGGTATCAATCTGATCTTGATCTCTTGCGAATCGATTCATAATTCGACCCATGGGGGTCGTATCGAAGAAATTTGTTGGAGCAAACATGACCTTTGAAATAGATCCAATGTGGAGCTTCCTTGCCGCTACATTACAAATAATAGCCATGAAGCTACTGAATGTGAAGAGCATGATGGATTGAGTGACTCCAAATGTTAAGTAGATTCCAATATAACCTTTGTCCCCAAGAACAGGGATCTGGTTTCGAGTCCAAACAGTAAGCCAGAACTGGACGACCAAGGAAACAGTGATGAGGCGGTTGCCGGTGCAATTGTTTGACTATACACCAAGAAGTTCACTCACGTTATTGCCAACTGAAGCAATTTGAGTTACTAGGACAATAATTGACAACGTAACCAAGAATGGCACACCACCAGCAGCTTTAGCATAAGACCAATACACCGCTCCAGAAACACTACCAACCGCACGGTCCTCCACACTCATCAGAGCAAGTGGCGAATTCTGCGTATTTAGTTTGATTTGTTTTGAAATCCTTTCAAAGGCATATCTTTCCCCCAAATGAAGCTGCTTTTGAGTCTCTTCTGCTATTTTGGTGTAATCCTTAGCGATGAGGTGCTTAGACATATCAGACACGTCCATAGACGGATCGGGTAGTTCATCTTCAACACCACCATAGGAACGCATCATGTCAGCAAACTCTCCATTTGCCTATTCACGCAAAACCTTTATCAGCTGAAATCTCACAACAGAGGAATAGATCTTCATGTTTACCTCCATCAACATTGAAAAGCTGCCCCGTTCTGCAATTCGTCCTTTTTTCATGACAATAACTAATACACGCAAATTGTCGTTTTAGCAACACACAAGAATAGAACAAGTAATCAAAAGCTACTATTGCACACCATAGTCAGCTCGATGAAGAAAGTGGAGCTGATGTGTCACAAGAATTCGAGTGGTATCTTTCAAAGCTCCCATTATACACTTTTCGAATAGGAATCGACCGACATGAGCTAAATGAGAGATAACCGTTAAACGATGTATGATAATAGTGTTGTCCGAGATAGTTTGATACGAACCATCGACCGCACTGATCGGATCGTCCAGTAAGACAATGTCTGGGAAGTAGTAGACCAGTCGAGCAAGTGAAACGCGGGCCTTTTGACCACCACTGAGCGTAATGCCCTTCTCTCCAATATCCGTTTGATCGCCTGGGAACAAGCAAAAGGCACAAAATCTAGCAACTTTTCTCCAAATGAGAACCAGGTTTCAATACCTTGAGGGAAGACAGCAATGTCTTTTTCCAATGCAGCAGAGTGTAAGGCTCGATAGTAACGTTCACGATTGTATGGTTGACCGAATAGAATATTCTCCTTGACCGTGGCGTTCTGAGAGAAAATGTCAGAAAAGCAAAAAAGGATGATTCCACATAGTGGAGCAATGACCAGGCTTGCCTGAATCCAAGGTTGCTGAGAAACATATCCAACACTTCCGCCAAATACAATATCAGGACCGGAAGTACGTTTACATTCTCCAACTAAGCCGTTCAAGAGTGATGATTTTCCACTTATAAATAGCAACAGAGTCAAAAAAATTGATCACTCAAAAATGTACTATCAAAGTGCCAACACACCTTCCGACAGCACCAACGACCACAACCAGCTGACCACGTGGAATGGTGAGATTGATATTATGTAACGAGAAATGTTCTTGTTCTAATTCTGGTAGCGGCGACGGTTTCAAGGGTGATTCAGGTCGACCCTCTGCAGATTCAAATACTACGTCTTTGCGTCGCCACCATTTACCACCTTTACTAGATTTCATACCATCTACACTAGTGGAAGCAGGATCTGGTTTGGTACTTGGTTCAGGCTTGTTTCCAAGCAGTCGACTAATTCCACGTCCAGGATGGTTGGTGGTAGTCAGCGCTTTCTTTTCAGCAGCACGCTTCTTGGCTAGCTCTGGTGCTTCTGTTTCCCAGATGAAGTCAGCAGAGACAACGTGAACTGCATTGGGAGCAGAGTCATCTCGGACAGGTTGATTTTCAATTTCATCGGCTAGTAGCAGGCCAGTGATACGGGTGATGGCTACAGCCGAGTCTGCCCAAGCAGCAATAATCAATGGTAGAAACTATTAAAACGAGTTTTCATGTTAGAGGGGACAATTGTACTGGAATAATTCAAATTACCTGAAGAGGGAAACGCATCATGGAAAATAGGGATACAGCAGCAAAGATCTTGGCTGGATCCAATCGAGGAGCAGTTAATCCATAAATCACGAATGAAACAGCAGCACTGATTACTAAAAAATGAGAAAGAGTTAAACCCTACGTTTCACGAGAATCTTTTATATCACCAAAACAGATCACCTGGAAATGAGAAAGCGATCGATTGCAGTGCAGCTCGTGTGATTGAAGCCCGAATGATTTGATTCATTTCAGAGTTTCGCAAGCTCATAATCCTTTCAAGGAATGGTGTTTCCCACGCAAAGAACTTGATTATGCGGATACCACTCAAAATCTCCTGTGTATTTCGGACGCGTTGATCGGTAATTCCGGCAGATTGCTTTCTGATAGCTGACAGGCGTTTCCACATCCTTTCTTGGACGGGAGTCAGACATATGAGGAGTACAAATCCTGCAATTGCTGGTGGTCTGCGATAAAGGAGTTTTGATATTAAAACGGTAAGAAATTGCTACCAAACACGTTTGAGGGCTGCTTTAATACTCACCCCAATTCAATCAACAGCACCACAAATATCCCCATGAGCATGATCGGAGCGGTTACAAGGACATAGCAATTACTCGAGAACTGCTCCAGACGAGAGGAATCGGTTGAAATCATGTTCGTGACCCTCCCCACATTGTATTCTTGTCGAGCCAATGCGCTGAGACGAAGGGATTTCCGATATATGGTCGAGGTGAGTGTAGCTCTAACAGCCATCGCTAAAATGATCGAAAGCGTGAGCTATTGCAATGTAAAGTTTTCAAAACAAGGTGACAAAGTTTACCCCATCCAGCACTATTGACTTGAAACCTGTTTTGCATTAAGGCCGAAATTCCTTGGAAAATGAAGAGGATTGCACAATAAATGAATCCCATATGCACTAGGAGGAGAATAGTATCATTAGAAGTAACTAATAAACGAGTAACTCTGACCCATAGTGATCCTATTTCCTGCAAACTTCATATACCAGGTGGTGGTGTTGGTGAGTTTGCACTCTGTTCAACGAACGTTACGATCTAAGGTGAAAATCAGGAAACACATTAAATACGCAATAAGTGCACAATAAATAACAATGCTATAGGCCAGAACTGCTTACTTGTGCGAGCAACAAAGGAGTACTGATATTGGCCATGTCACCAAAAAACTTATAAAATCCAATAAACCAACAACGCTTTATAAACTGAGTCCATAAAGCACGAGCAAGACTAGGTTCATCCGGATCAGGAAATGGACTTTCTGGAAGCCATTTCTTCCAAGATGACGGACGAGATTCCGAAGGAGTTGTATCGACTTGAACCGTGGATGCGGTAATGTTATCTCGAGTATCTGATGTATCTGTTACATCAATACCCACTCCCGCATCACCAAAAACCTGATCCGGAGCATCCGAAGAGGTACGATGATGGTTGGGGTGTGGTTTCTTTCGTGCGAGCTCCTTTTTCCAGATTTCATCGAATTCAGCAGCGAGAGCTTCAACCTGGAACCGTGTGGAGATTGTGTACATGTCTTTTTTTTCGAGCTAATAAGGAATACATGGGTTGTTAGCGAATGGAACTGGATGCATGTGGTGTAGAGCGTTTCAATCACGAACAGAGTGTTTGAAACCCTTGTAAAAGATCTTGTCCATCCATGTTATAAAGATTTTAGAAAAAAATCCCTAATTTATGAAAGAGTTTATGCTTTAGAATGTGATGATCTGTCCAAAAATGTGAAACATCGAAAGAAAGTGAAAGTAAAGCGATGCATGGACCTCGAAGAAACTTACGGCGTTTTGTTCGGGCAAAATAGGAAAGGAATGGTTCCCATTTGACGATCCAATATCTTTTAGCGTATCCATGATAGCTTTATTTGACTTTGATCAAGAGATCAAGATCAAGAAACGGAAGCTCCTCAACTTGTTGAGCTTGAGATAGAAAGCAGGTCTTCGAACAAGGAAGGGAGTTCCAACTCCGGAAACGCGATGATCAAATAGATAATTACGATTCAAGCTTCCGTTGCTATGTCAGTTAGGGATCCAGGTCTCTCCCTTACTTCCGCTTGTTCGCAAACCTTGACGGTACAAAAAATTGCTGGCTCAGGCCATCCCAAAAAGTACATCATTGCTTCGAAATTCAGGACGCCCAATTTTTTTCGTGTCGAAAAGATAATCGTGCTCCTTCTTTGGTATATAGAACGCGTAAACGTGGTGTGTTTGACGTTTTTGCGTCCAACACCTTGAGCAGCCACTCGTTCGAAAAAACGCTTCAGTCAAGCTCGAAACAAACGGATCTCAGTGTTGAAAAAACTCAGACTGTGTACTGCTATATTTACGACTTGTAAGATCTATAGTGACTGACGACTGCTGTATAACGAAATCAGAATAAAAATATAAGTGGTTGCTTAAGTTCGACCGGGGGCTGGAGGAGGGAAGGCCCTTTCATAATGATGGAGAGGAATCTATAGAACGTTGTTGTGAGTGACTTGATCCACATGAGATTCATATGGGGCAAACAATCACCTCTGCCGTCTTTTGTGCTACAATTGACTCGCGGTTTATGGCCTTTTGACCACGTTTCTGTAAATTTTGGTTTAATTTAGAAAAATGTTGCACAATTGGATATCATGGCATTGAAACAGATGACATACCTTATCCAAAACGACAACAGCGACAAGCACACTGACGAGAGCAACAGCGACAACGGGAATGGACACTCCAAGGGCCACTCCAATAGTCACAGAATTGGCGGAACCTCCAGTTGCAGACCCAGCAGAAATACATGATTTTATGCTTCCACAAGCATTTGGAACCATCACATTAGTTTCTAGGCACACGTCGTTTCCTGCCAGTGAGCATTGTGTCAACGGAAGAGAATACAAGTCAGGTAGGGAACCAGATATTTGGTTTTGTTGCAGCTCCCTGTTTGTAAGTGTAGAGATTCAATATTCATGACTTCGTTGTGATGGATGCAAACATCTTTTCAAGCAATACTCACATAATCATCAAATTCGACAATCTGGCGAACGAGGATGGCACAGATCCAGACAACGAGTTATTGTGTAGGTCTAAGTCTCTGAGTGTCGAAATGCTGCCCATGGAATCCGGAATTGATCCAGATAGCATATTGTTTGATAAATCAACTTGCTCCACCCGGAACAGATTGTTTGCGAGATCATCAGTGATGCTTCCAGTCATTCCCAGTCCAGACAGGATCCTACAATGTTTTCGTGTGGTTTAGCACATTGTTTTTGAACATGAAAGGTAGGAGAACCGCTTACAGGAATCGCAATGCCGAAACACTGGATCCGATGGACTCAAATGGAATATTGACACTCAATAATTGACAGTTCTGAATGTTTCTACACATATTCAAGAATTTTTTGATGAGTTTGCGTGCGTAATGAATATCAAAGTGTTTCTTCCTTACAGCCATTCCAACCATGGAAAAGCATTCAGTGATGGGAAGAAAGTGCCGTGACATCCCGGCACGTTTGTTGCTTGAAGCGCCCAGATATATTTCACTCCTTGCTGAAACGTACAGCCGACCAAAGGCATCGACGAATTGCTGTTAGTTGGGCTAGCATATGGCCATTTGTCACCGGTGTAAGAGCAGCATTGATCAGAACCGATCTGCCATGGTATTTGAGAGACTCCCAGTTCGCTGAAAAATGTGTATGCCGCGTTACATTGAGTTACGATATCTAGTAAATATATTGGTTACATCTCTTCAATGCAAATTGGTCTCAACAGAATCAAGCGGGATTCTTGAATGAATGAAAAACCACATACCAGCAGGAATGTCGAGACCATGTGTAAGAGACGAGAATAGTAGCAGAGAAGCAGGGATCAGGAGAGATCGTGATGTAATCATGCTTTTCTATGGATTCCAGATGTGGATCTATTTGGATCTATCTGTTTGATGTCGAGAACGGATGGAAACGGTCGTGTGTTTGGTTCAGAAATGAATGAAAATGTAAACATGAAAAGCTGCGAGAAAAACAAGTCAAGGAAAATGCAGAAAAATCCAGTGGAGGACAGATAGCGTGACTATTATTCAAGTATTTAGTAGTACCGCTGTAACAGATTTCCGTGAACTCGTCATGCGAAAACATCAAGCAAAGAATAATCATCTACATTCACGATGGCATTCACATGCATGTGCAATAGCCAAATCAAGCTCATCAAGACAAGATTGCCAGCATTTCTCTCTGACCATCGATGCTTCCGCTCTCTTCTGATTCGAGTCGTGAACCCAACCCTACCACATCAAGAAGGTTTTTCGATGAACTTTTCACCCCATCGTAATTTAAAAAGCTACAGAAGAACGAGCTAAAACATGCCATCTAGTCTCGGCAGTGCATTCGGATTTGGTGGTAGAACAAAAGCTGCTCTCCCACGAGACCATAATTCAAGCACAAGGTAGCTTGAACCAACGCTTGTCACTTCGTGTCATCAATCGCTCCAACACAATCAGCACAACCAAAGTTCGATCATTTTGTGTTCTACCATCGCTAACATACACCCATCCTACTCCAGGCTCAACCAATTCGCACTCGGAGGAGGCCAAGACTTTGACACAAAGAATTTCAAAGTCAACAAATGGACAAGATTCAGTGCCAGAGGCTTTGAACTATTCCTGTCTGTCATCTTGATGGCCATGTTGGGCAGAACACCAGCAACATTGAGCAACTCGAATGATGTGTCTGGCATCACCTCTGCAATGTTTGCCGTATCAGCTATATCGCTAATCGCTGCCTCGGCTGGAATCGTACTGTACATGGTGCCCTTTTTCATGCATTCGGTGGGTCACAGGTTCTCTGGGAGTTAGATTTACATCAGACTGACATTGAGTTCGTGTTATAGTGGACGACTCGACGTGTTCTTATCGTCGAGATGAGTATAGACGCCATTATGTCTGGCCTCTTTGTATGCGGATTCATCGCTGCCGCCGTCAAGACTTGGTATGAGAATCTGTCTGGCGAAACCCAACAATAGAGTCCGCTGACACGTTCCCTGTAGCCAACCCGGCACAAGCTCATGTGATGCCATGAACTGGGACATTGTTTTCATGTGTGCAGTTGGTGCAGCGTACCTGATCTCTCTCGGTTTGGACGCCTATTCGTTGCTCAAAGTGAGTCTTGACAATTACAACAACACATGTTTGAGCTGAGAATAACGCGTACATTGTCATTTAGGGCTTATTCCCAAAGAGCTTTAACGACGAAATTCAATTGTTTGGTGCCAGAAGAGCTAGCGTTGGAAGATATTGAGGGATGAATAGACGAACTGACGAATTCCAGCATATGAAATCTAGAACTCATTGACTCATGACTCATTTGACATATAACATATATAAGTAACAGTCACGTCCGTTCAACGTCCTGAGTATGATGTATGATCGGTACTCGTAATTCGTTATATCAGAAAAACCAGTGTCATTTGCGAAACAGGAAGACCAAGCAATGATCAGAAGCGACAATGCAATTCCAGCACCTAGCGCCCTAATAGATTATTTATCTATCTCGGATCAACCGCCGACTTTCACAACACCCTCATTAGACTTCCCGTCACATTCAGTCGAATTGGTGACTTTGGTGAATAGGATACGAGCACTGCACGATGGAACTGGACCTGATCTAGCCCACCTCCAACAAGACGGTCTTACTGATGATGAAATCGCCATCGCTGCGCAAGAACATCAACACATTCTCGTCGCTGCCATTATGCAAGGATTAAACAGACTCAATATCCTGACGAGACCGCCAAATAAAAAGGCTGCTAAACGAGAGGATGATAAAGGTAATTAAATTTATTGTCATATTGGTCTTTTTTTGTCAGGTGCACCGGGTGTAATTTTGTAACTCACACACACCGTTTATTTAGTCGGTTGGTCGACCCATCCCTTTGATCCAACATTATCGCCGGCCCAACGTGCCTTATATTACAGAATTAGAGGAAACATGTACAGATTCCTGCCAAATCCGCCACCACTAGTAGAAGAAAATCTCGCAAAGGCTGTTAAATTGGATCCGCAAGTATGGGAGAGTTGGATTGATATGGGTGAATGGTATGCTCGTAATGGAATGAATGATGATGCGAAACGGTGTTTTGCTGGTGCTTTGGAGAGGGTATGGAATTCCTGGGATTTGACGATCTAGCGTTCAGAGGATGTTGCCAACCATTCATGCACCTTCCATATAGTCTCGAAATACTGTCACGTTACAGCATTACTCTATGATATTACGCCAAACGCCTCCGTCCGGTAGTGTGTGGTTTCCTCTCTTCCTCACGAAGACATTTCAAGTACTCACATAGGCTTTTTGTGGCAATCTAGCAAAACCACAGGAAGTAATAGACAATCTGTTACAGAGTCTAGAACTGTGTAAAGAAGCCATCACGATGGATGTGGAAGATGGAGAATCATGGAGTATGTTTGATATGGTGACATCCTTGCGTCCACCATTGTTACGTGCCCCCAAATATTCACTCGGCTTCCCACCTTTCAATTATTTAGACGGTGTAGCGACATCCTACCTGAAACTTTTCTTCAACTCGTCGCAAGATCCTCGTGACCTGCATAAAGCCTTGAATGCTTACAATCGTGCAGTAAGCAAAGGCAGCCATGTCTTTCCGGTCTTTTTTGCCGACGGAATTATTATTCTTCTTACCTAATCCAATCTTCTAGATAACATCCCGAATATCCTGTTCATTGAATCCAGATGTCTTTTACAACAGAGCTACAGTACAGCAATGTCTAGAAAAATACCAAGGTGCTGTTACAGACTATATGACGGCACGTAGACTAGATCCAACCGCGATTGGATCGTCATGTTTATCTGCTATAGAGCAAATAAGTACATTGGTGCAGCGAATGGCAGAGGCGGTAGAATCCAAGGTACAGCAAAGTTTCGTTGGATCTGGGATTTTTCTGTCCTGTTCTGATATCATTTTTAACCTTTTTCCAAAACATCCTAGCTTGATTTAACACCTGAACGACTACACATGCTGGCATCTCAACTAGACACGACCAAACCACTAGCATCACCGCTAACCAAACTGACTCATGTAAATTTCACGGATCTGACACCAGACAAGACACATTCTGGCAAAGTCCTGATATTTAGAGTGCTGGCTGTCCCGAAACATGAGTTTGCGATACCAAAGTGAGCAAATGATCCTTTGACGCATCAGGTTTTTTTTTGGTTGGACTACTTTGAATATCACTAAATCCATTCTCATGCCATTCCGAACAGATCGCTTCTAGCAATTGATGCTAGCGCCAATGTGTTTGCCGTCAGTTTGTTTGTGGATACGTCTAATATCAAGATTGGAGATGATTTAGCTGTTGGTGCACCGACCATGCAGCAGATTGAGTTTAATTATAGCAAGGTATGTGCGAGGGAGAAGCAGAAGCTTGTTGTCAATTGAGCATTAAGATGCCATGAATGCTGTTTTTGTCGTTAAACCATGAATGTGTTTGTGATTCTTTTTTGATACCAAATGAGTACCAGTTGCTTTACTCGATGCAAAGACAGGCATTTTAACAAGGCTGACCTCTTGTTTGATAGGTAAACGTATCCTATAAGGTCCTACGAGCAGATAATCCCGGGATGGTATTGGTGAAAAACAAGCATGCAACATCGCTGAATGTCGCATATACGAAACTAAAGATAACACAGTGACGGCTTTTACTTATTATTATGGGAATTATATGTAGATTCCTTTTTCTTACAAGGCGCAATAACAAATATTGGTTATTGCCTTTTCTGTTATGAATAAAGGAGACTGTATAGTGTCTGTCAGAGTACATTATGTGCAAGATGCAAACAGCTGTGATACTGTAATGTTAGAAACCCAAGTCCAAGCCGGCCGAAGTAACTTACATATGCTCATATTAGTGAACTTCCGAACTTGCCCATTCTCCAGACCTTTACTACATCATCTGCACCACCACTACAAAGCATATCATCAACTAACGACAGACACCTCACAGATTTAGAGTGTCCACCATGCATAGGTGGCGTCTGTCCATACTTTGTAACGATGCTCTGCTGATCAGTATCAGGCGAATACGACGATTCTTGATCCAGAATGCGAATGGATGAGGTTGATCGATTATATATGGATATGTCCTTTGAGGAGGTCGCCACGACGATTTTCCACGTGTCGAATGCTACAGCGTTTATACAGGTGTCGAAGGGGATGGTTTCTAGTACGTCACCTATTCGTAGATCCCATATCTGATGAATCAAATTGGTTAGGTTAATTGGGCCTAAGAAATCAACGCAAAAAAGCCTTGTTTCATAAAGAATACTAACCTTGACAGTCTTGTCAACACCACCAGTCACCACACAACGCTCATCAAACTTGAGTGTCGTTATAGCACCAGTATGACCTCCAACAGCAGCACCCAATTCACGATGGCACTTGCCAGACCTTAAATCCCACAACCTGACTAAACCATCACCATACCCAGCAGCCAAGGCAAATTCTACAAACTGCAGTGCAGCAACATGCCCGCCAACATTATAGAGCATGAAACCATCATCCTTGGGCTTGTCTGTGAATATATCCACGGTAGCAGGTGGGTAATTAAGTGATTCTCGAGCACCATGACCGACAACCATCGCATCCATCTTGTTCATCGAAACTCCTTCGACCCATTTCTCGGTTCGTAGGATTTGGGTGGTGTCGCCAGTATTCAAATCCCATACTCGTATCGTGCTATCCGTACTACCACTAACCATTTGTCGATCATCGAACGCCAGACATCCTACTCCGCCAGCATGACCACGGAATACTCGAGTACAGACTACCTCAGAATCTATCGGTGCAGGTTCGTGTTTGTGGTGCAGCGATGAAGTGACATTGATTACAGGTGATAGAGGCGGTATTAGCGACAAGTCCCATTGACGTATAGTGTGGTCTCCACTTCCAGACATTAGAGTTTGGTTTCGGATTTGTACGGATCGAACCCAGCCTGTGTGGCCGCTCAACACGGCACTGCAACGATGAGAACTCAAGTCCCATATTCTTATGGTACGATCTGCTGAACCAGATGCGAGTGTTCCGAACGGTATGTCAAAGTCTAGGCACTCTACCGTGTCTTCGTGACCAAATAACGTCTAGGATTCGCAATGCGTGAACAAGGAGGTAAGTAAGTTTTCAGTAGTTGCGACAAGTCGACCGAACCAAGTCGCAAAAAGAGAAACAACAAAACAGCTCATTACCTTCAGACAAGTATTTGGTAGAGTTCTGGGTGTAGCGTCAACATCCAAAGCAGCAGAATCACCTTCAAAAAGAAGGAAAAAACACGATGAGAACAAACCCAAACTAAGGATGATAAAGAGGTGATTGACAAATCACGCACCTTTAATGCTTCGAATTTTACGTTCGAAACGAGCACTTTCATCACCAACAGAAGCGACACGAGCATCTAAATCTTCCACTAAGACATCAAAGCAAGGTCAGGTGAATAACGCATTGATCACAAAGAACACCATTGAACCACCCTAATACGAAAACACCTACGGAGCTCATTCACTTTCTCTTCTCTATCAGCGACTTGACGCAACCGTTGAATGACTTCCCCCTTTCGTCGATTCAGTTCAGTCAGCATGTCTTCGATTTGCCTTAATTGGTCTGTGTATGATCCCTAAATTCAAATTTGGGTCAGAGATTATAAAAGAAGTAGTTCAACTGATTCTATAGTCAGCTCACTCTCTCAGTTTCCAACTTTTCACATTCGTGAAGGATGAGATCACGCTCGTTTAGCAGTTCTGTGAATAACCGAGACACATTATGAATCGAAACTAAAGGGGAGAAAGGAATGTGTCAAAATACAAGTTAATTGAATCGACTAAAAAAACTCGCATTGAATACCTGAATGAACACGTATATTTTCCGGCGCCACATATGTTGCATCATGACTACTTGTTGATGCTGCTGTTGCATTTGTTGGATAATGAAGCTCCATAGTCTCATGGACCTGCATCTTCTCATATCTCATATGAACCATGCTACCAGTCTCAGTTGACGACGATTGTATGTTATTAGATGATCGTTTTATACTAGTCCTTGATGTAGTCTGTGTAGCAGCTAGCTGAGGATAGACAGCCCGAAACCCTTGATAGAATGTGATTTGTGGAGTGGATGTTTCAGGCAGAGACGACAATTCAGCTTCGGTCAGGGTAGCAATTTCTTCGTCATTGACCAGAGTTGAAGATGACGAGTTTCTAGTTACGTTCGACTTTATTGAATTTGATTCTCTGGATTTAGATCGTGAGGAGGACCGCCTGGAGGTGGCATCATCGTCACCAGTGGTGCGTTGTTTGTTTCGTTGGGAAGATGCCTTGCGTCTGGTGGTGCTAGAGGGAGTCGATAGGTAGAGTGGTGGTTTTTCTGGTGTGGGAGACAGAAGGACCAGTTCCTCTGGCGGATCAGCGGTTGGAGCAATCTGTCCATAGCCTATGGTGAACAGGTTCTTGCCCGGCCATGACGGAGTCTTTGGAGAGGAAGGCCAATTCAGTGGGAGAGCAGTAACAAATGCAGATCCGAGTGGCTTTCTGCCCAGAACTGTGAAGTTGCGTTCTAAGTGTTGATTACCGTTAGAGTTTGTTTAATGAATGTCATGATTGCATGGCAGGCACTGTATGTAATGCACCGAGAGCATGAATTCCATAATTGATACAATATAATGCATAGATTCCACTCATTAACAGTGTCTCATGTTGGAGTTGGTTGACTGCATGCTTTCCCTTACAACAGGACAACAAGATTTCGGACTGACTTTCCAGGCCATGACTTGCCTGTGCTGACAGAGTCCCAGTCCCGCTGAGTCTTTACGCTCAAATCTATTGGATCCATGCTGGAATCAAGTAGTGTGGGTATTGACAATCAATTGCCACGAAGTTGTTCACTTGTTTTCGACGTGATGAGGTATTAAGACACGATTAAACTTCAAACAAGTGCCGCACACAACGAATCTGGTGTCGGCGCTACAAGATACGATCGCTCCGATTTCAGAACTACGCGATTATCCTACATTCGACGCGTATCACTCACATCAATGTTTAATTCAATCCTTACGACCTACTATAGACCTAAATTCAAATTGTACGCGTATTTTCAACATATTACATACAAAAGTCGCCTTTGTTCCACAGGTGACCGGTCCTCTTTCAGACATCGCCTCCTCTTTCAGAGTCTCATTTCGTCCAAAAAAAGCAAATGCCGACTAGGAGAGGGGGCAGAGGCAATAAAGTGATGAGTGAAGGCACAAGGTCACCTATCAGTACGAAAAAGATAACACTGGCAGATGACCTGCCACAGCTTGTACTGCTGATATGCCTGTGTAAGTGTTCTAGATCATTTCAAACACCACTTCCAATTCACCCAATTCCAATCGGAATCGATATAAAAGAGCACGCACAACACTACAAAATTCATCAATCATCACCATATACTCAGAGCTCTCTTCTACTCTCTCCCTCTCAACACAGATTTGCTGCAAGGAATACCATTAGGGCTCGCTTTTGGATCCATACAATTCCTCCTAAAACAGAATCCAAACGTCTCCTACAGTGACTTGGCTCTCTTCTCTCTAGCTAGCTATCCATATTCATTAAAGGTATGGTCTCGCTGCTATTCGCGAACAGAGCCTCGTCTAGCAGAAGACTGACCCTTTCACTCAACATTACTTACAACCTACAGCTCTTCTGGTCTCCAGTCGTCGACTCGATATATTTCAAGAGCATAGGCAGGCGAAAGAGCTGGATTGTTCCTATACAGGCCATCACGGGAATCACACTCTTCATTCTTGGCTCAAAGATTGATGGCTTGTTGGCACAGGTACACGGCGTGTAACTGCTTCAAAACGATTCTATTTGAGTGAATAGTGTACTGATCTCTCCGTACTTGTGTAGGAAGTCTTGCCAGTGCGGGCACTCGCGGGATCCTTCTTCTTTATTGTTCTGTTGTGTGCAACTCAAGGTACGCTCTAATGATATTTTGCCAATGATTACAAAAGGAATCTCACTCGTCTCTCTTTTTACATTTCTAGATATCGCTGTTGACGGTATGCTAAAAACGTGGACTGCTTGCATGTATCGTGGATGACGTGTCACTTCTCTTTAGGTTGGGCGTTGACGTTATTACGAGAAGAAAACAAGGCATATGCATCTACAGGCAAATCCCTTGAATTCTCTGTGTCATCTGTCATACTATCTCTAACGCCCGAAACTCTTAGCGCAAACAATAGGAATGAATAGTGGATACTTCTTATCGTTTACAGTGTTTCTAGCCTTGAACTCTGCAGACTTTTGGTACATATCTCTCTTGTTTCATGATCACATTACTAGTCGCTCACACTCTTTTGTCTCAGTAACAAGTACCTGAGATCAACACCTTCAGAGTTGGGACTCTTTCAACTTGGCCCATACATCCAGTTCTGGGCACTGGCCTTCTTAGCATGTGATTTATGGTTGATTTTCGTTCAAAAAGAGGTAAAATCAAAACGTGTTTATACATCGACTGATGTGTCCTCAATTTTTTTGTCTGGTTAGAGTCCCTCTCATGAACCATCCGGATGGCACGAAATACGAATAGTCTACAGACAAATATTTAGTATTATCATGCTACCACAGATGCAGAGATTCATTGCAGTCATGATGGTGGCAAAGTTGGGATTCATTGCCAGTGAATCAGTCACAGGACTGAAACTTTTAGAGAAGGGATTTAAGAAGGAAGATTTAGCTTTAGCAGTACGTACTCGATGACATTACGATTTTTTCCTTTTTGTGCTAAGTCGTCACCACTTCTAGGTGCTCATTGATTTTCCATTCGAGATACTTTTTGGATACTATGCTGCTAAATGGAGTAGTGGGTCACGTCCACTAAGGCCGGTAGGTGGCTGCCAATGAAGCTTCAGTGCCATCAAACACGCGCTGAATCTTTTTTCATAGTGGTTGTATGCCTTCTATGGACGACTTGCTTCAGCATTGTTGGCAATGGTCCTTGTCGCTCTGGTTCCAGCTAGTGGTATCACTACTACATTCTTTGTGATAGTCATGGCATCCACAGTGCTTGGATCTTTCATGTCTACGGTTCAGTTTGTTGGTAAGGCTCAAACATGTATCTTTTGACACCTTGCTTTTGTTGTTGCTCACTTTTCAATATTGAACCTTAGGAATGGGCAGTTTCTTTACTCGAATCTCAGATCCAAGTATCGGAGGCACCGTAAGCTTTAATGGCTGTCGCCAACGAAGAACCCCCTACCCACCGCTTTCGTATGGTTAATGAGTTTCCTCTCCATCTAGTACATGACATTACTCAACACAGTCTCCAACTTTGGAGGGACATGGCCGCGCTACTTCATCCTCAATGCCGTCGACTACTTTACAGATTCGACATGCTCAGAAACCGATTCCGGCAACTCGACAATCCACTGCTCGAGCGAGCCTTCCAAAGCACTCTGTAAAACAATGAACGGAACGTGTCAGACACGTGTTGATGGATACTACGTGGTTGGACTAACCATGTTTGTAATTGGTGTTGTTTGCTTGCTAACGCTAGTCAAGCCTGTAATATTGAACATTGAGTCACTGCCAGACCGTAACTGGCGAGTCGTGAAATTCAAGGAGGATGATGATGGAGATAATAATCGGTATGGGGATGAGAATGTTAGATTAATAGATCAGTAGAAATTTGTTTGTATCTTTTGTGAACACGTGTAATATAAAGCAATGCACTAGCAAAAACAAAAACATTGTTCAGTTTCGTGTACATTTCTCAGGAATTGTCACAAGTTGACACTTCGTCATTGACATCGGGCTGTGAACATAACACTCTTGCAGCACTTGATCTACAGAATGCAACTTCTCATCAGCGATGTACTCCTCGTAGCTCAGATGGTCTAGAACGTGTGGCTGTAGATGGCAATCATTCGAGACCACAAGGTCACCTATTCGACTCACGTCTGGGAGATTGAGTTTTTTAAAGCTCCTTTTGAAGTTTTTCATTTATTTTGACGTCTGTCAAGAAACATTGCTGGGCCACTTGATTTTTAGAAGTGTAGTGTATATATATTCCATTGACCTGATGGACTAACGTTCCCATAACCATGTATCCTTGTCTTGATGTTTTTTAAGTGAACTAGTTTTTGGACGCAAATGCTCTTTCTGAGCAAAATACAGCTTTAGGACTAGAAATCTGAAGCTAATAAGATATGGAAACTGCGTAGCTGAATGTCGGCTTGCTCTACTGTCATACTGTGTTGGCATAAGTGGTTGCTTATAAGGGCACGGATGTGGGGATGTTTTCAAGCAGATGAAGCCGGCTCTGCCTCTATCCTGATTCTTATCGCCCCACCTATTTTCTGATATGGCTGACACTGGGTGCCACCATTTTTAGAACGCCATCAGAAGATGGTCAGTCCATTGACAAGAACGCAATGGGCGTTGTTTCGAGGCATATTTTATGACGGAGCCGAAATCTTACTCTACAAAGAACTATAAGCTTTTTCTTTTACCCTTGCTTTTCATATAAAAAACACATCATCCAACCCCATCATAGAAATCAAACACTAATCACTAATCATTTAGACAACACTATGGAAGAATAAGACACTTTTGGATCTTTCTGCGAGAGACAGCCAGCAACAAATTTACTCGATAACAACACACAGACTTACATTATGGAAAGATTTCATAAAAGCTTCACTATTCTGAGGGTTCCAAGAAGCACACATTTGCAACTCTGGTTTCTGCTTGAAGCGCAAAGCGACGTTTTCTGCAGCAAAAAGGAGATATCCACTGATCTCAAGCACCTGGTCACGATTACATCGAGTATCACAACCGCAAGGCACCGAACCTCTTTCATCACCACATCCCGTTTCATCAGGTTTGGCATTACGGAATGTTCGAAGAATAATGGTGAGGAATGGTCCTAAAATCAGATGCTCTTCTAATTGAGCTACCGTACGAAGTTCCAATGAGATGTCTGTGTGTGGTAAAATTGAGTCGAGTCATGTTATGGTCCTTCGAGTTGTTTATTGGAACCAATAAAAGCGAATTTCGGATTCTGGATTGCAGTTGAAACTCCGTTTAGAGTTGGTGATGGTCGTGTTTCATCAAAATTGGTATAGCTGAGTAAATCATGTTCACCTCCTACTTAAGGGTAAATCCTGAAGCAAAGGGGACGAAAATTCAAATGCAGGTATTCTGAATATCTTGATACTGCAGATTTACGACATTCGTTAGCTTTATCGGTGCCGGAGCGTCCTAGTTTTTCGTAGAATTGCAATTGCGTCTTCTTTCTTCCATTCTGATATTCACGGTAAAATGTATGTTCACTGATTCGAAAATGGACGAATTCGATGAATGTCAGAGAGGCATGACGTGCTTGTGCGAACATTAGGTTATTAGAGCTTTTGAGACCGACATTCCATGTCTGTCCTGCAGAAGGATGTTCTCGCAGATGAGATGGAACGAGCTCAGCGAAACAAAAACTGTATCAAGAAAGATCCTTGACATCCTGTCAACAGTGACGCTCCCTAAAGGTTAAAGGTGAGACCTTCCTGTCAACATGACAGTTGCAGAACTTAGTCTCCGCGAAGAGTTTCAATTTCACCACAACATCTCATCAGATCCTCGCTCCCAGTAGCTCAGTTGGCAGAGTGCACGGCTGTAATTGGCAAACCATCAGTCACCGCGATGTCACCTGTTCGACTCAGGTCTGGGAGATAAGATGACCCCTGGCACAGATGACTTTTTTGCCCCTCCAACAAACAACTTCTTGTTTGGTCTTTGTTTTACCATCGTATAATCAATTTCCAGTTGCACTTGACATTGCAGATCTCAAAATAGTCTATTTTTATCAAAGTCGACACACTTCAAACGGATTTATTTTCTATCAAAGGCTCAGGTCTCAGTCTACCCCACCCACAACTCGTGTCAGACGGCATAAGCAAGCGTCAGCCTTCCACTCTAGTTTAAAGCTTGCCAGGCATCATTCTGATACCTTCACTGACCCGGTCTTCAGTCTGTTGTACCACCTTGTTGATGTACTTGGCAACGAACTCTTTGTCCTCTTGCGGTATCATATGGCCAGTTGCAACTCGAACCACTTCAATGCATCGAGGCAGAGTTTTGGCGATACCGGCATCCTTTCCGCTAGAAATGAAAAGAAAAGAGATTAGGGGCTTGAATGCTGGTACATTGAAACCGGTATTGCAAGCATACATTGTTTCACCGCTAGGTAGCTTGATTGGGAGATCGGCTAGATTGTGTTTTGTAGCTGACACGATGTACGTTGGTGCTTGAATGGCCGGTAACTTGTTGAAGACAGTCGAGGTTCGAGATCCCCAAAACGAGGCTGATTCCTGGACTGGCGTGCATTTCAACCAGTATTTACCACCTTCTTCGTAGAATGCTCCGTTTATGTAAGCCCATAGGGCGTCGTCTTGCCATACTTTGAAAAAACCTTTACTCTAAAGATACAGAGATCAGTACAATTGTTTCGACGTGGATACAGAGACCTGTTTCGCACCGTGAAGTTGGCGTAGACCTCTTGCAGCGACGAGAAGCCATTCTTTCTTCTGCCAGCGGATTCGGCGAGAGGATTTCTAACAGGCTGGGAGGGTTCCTATAACAAAAAAAAAGGATTAGACTAACACCAAGTATGAAACGAAATAAACCTGATACCTCAGTAACCATGGGGTATATTATAGGCTCGATCAACACAAGGGCAGAGTATGCTGACGTTCTCAAAGCAGCAGATCCAGCAATTTGGGCGCCACCAAACGAGAGCCCGCAACCAATGAGCACTCGCCTTTTACCACTCTTTCTGTCGAGCGGTTTCTTGGCGTCAGCAGCGTTCCATAAACTCAGCACGAAGTCCTACATGCGGGACGTCAGAAACCACAACAAACCAGCACCAACATGATTTCACAACTCACCACAACTTTAGCACAGTCCTGACCCCCTACATCCCATTCCATCGGTGGCGGCGACTGGTCTTTAATGAATTGGGGATTTAAGAGCGCACTGTCTCCGTGATTTCTGGCGTCAAATGCTACACAGGTTTCCACGTTTGGTGAAGTTTCGAAGAGTCGTTGAATTGTAGGCTCCCATGTCTCCTTACAGAAGCCTACAGACCGATAATCAGCGTTTGATCACCGCTTAAGATGTATGTAGGATAAGAACTCACCAGTAGCATGTGCGAAAATAACTGTAGCTGAAATGCTGGATACAGGGTGATTTGTTGGCCGTAAAGGGGAGTACACGTTGACCGCCTATGTAAGATGACGCGTTAGCTGACTACTTCGTCTCAACAGCTCGCGAACGTTCTGGCCTTCTGGCCAGCTGTGATCCCGGCCAAACCAAAAACCAATGTCAGACCGACACGAGACGACTTACGATCTTCAGGCCACGTTCGGCTGCATCAATGACATGCGCTTTAGTTGCATACATATCAAGTTCCGTTATATGTCAGTATCGTAACGGTAGTTGACGCTTTTGACGCTCTACTTTTGACGTTCTACAACCGCTTTCAGTGGTAAAAGCAATACCTTCTAATCTACTCAATCTACTCAATCTCTCATTCCACTCAGCTCATCTAAAACCTGCGTGTGTAACTCTCATCTTATGGCAAAAGTGCAAAACAATGTGTGACCGATGACATCATCTCTAGATAATGAAATAAATGAACACAAAAAGAATCGCATCGCAGCGTCATATATACTGAAAACTGCAGACTCTATTTTTTTGCTAAACAAAGCAGATGCTCTAAAGCGCGTTTATCACTGTTGTATCATTTATAAAGGATCACCGAGCGGATACTAGTCATTATGATTTTGTCAGTTAGTTTCGTAATGCTCATGCTCATACACGAGGATTTACGTACCTTTCTCCAGCGTGCATCACATCAAAGGCCTTGTTGATATCGTCCAGACTGAAACTATGCGTTACATCTAAAACCACAAGGAGCATTTAAATGTATATTAGCTTATACGAAGGCAGTCATGACTTAAGACGTAAGTCAAGATGAATGAGCTCTGTCTTGATGGCTTACATGAGTCAAGATCCAGTTTGCCACCAAGATAGTCTTCGACAAAGTCTGGCAACTGGGTTCTTCCTTTTACACCACCAAAAGCAGAGCCCTTCCATGTACGACCAGTGACCAATTGGAATGGACGAGTCTTGATTTCTTGTCCCGATGCAGCGACTCCAATGATGATGGACTGTCCCCATCCCTTGTGACAGCATTCCAAGGCAGCTCTCATGACATCTACATTTCCAATACATTCAAACGAATAATCGACACCACCATCAGTCATCTCCACCAAAACTGTTTGAATTGGCTTTCCAGCAAAGTCTTTCGGATTCACACACTCGGTAGCTCCCAATTTTTTAGCCAAGTCAAACTTGGTTTCATTCATGTCAATTCCTATGATTCGTTTGGCACCACACTTTCTGGCTCCTTGGATGACAGAGAGTCCAACACCTCCCAAGCCAAATACTGCGACGATGGATCCTGGTTCGACTTTGGCGGTGATGACTGCTGCACCATAACCGGTAGTAACCCCACATCCGAGTAGACATACACGATCGAGTGGAGCGGTGGGGTTGACCTTTACAACTGAGATTTCCAAGGCGACAGTGTATTCACTGAAAGTGGATGTTCCCATGTAATGGAAGATTTGTTGGCCTTTGCAGGTGAAACGGGAAGTGTTGTCGGGCATCAAACCAGCACCCTAAGAGAAAGAGATTCGTCAGAGATACGCCAAAAAACGTCGCTGACGAGTGACCATGTTCCGAAAAGCGTACTTGTGTTTCACGAACAACGGAGCAAAGGTTGGTCTTTCCGCTGGTACAAAACTTGCACTTGCGACATTCAGGGATATATAAGGGAATGACATGGTCTCCTGGCTGTAAGGGTCAGACAATGTTGTGAGTATTATGCTGTGCTACGTGTCGGCTTTATGAAATAACGTACAGCGAGAGAGGTAACTCCTTCACCAATAGACTCGACGATTCCACCACCCTAGTATGATCACGAATGAGCAAATACACACTTGTATATCAAAGTCCTGTTGATTGAACTACCTCATGGCCCATAATCACAGGCTAAGAAATGTTTAATTTGGTTAGCTGGTACTTTACAATAGGCAATTTTGTACAGAATGCAGTAATTTCAAGCAAGATAAAGGCTTAATTTGAAGATTAATGCCCAAAACCGACAGTTGACTTACAAATTTTCCTTCAGGGTCAGCACCCGATAGAGTATATGCATCAGTATGGCAAACACCAGTGGCGAAAAGCTTGATACGAACTTCACCAGCTCGTGGCGTTCCAACTTCAACGGTTTCGATTGCTATTTCGTTCAGACAGGTTTTTGAGTTAAGTTTGAATGTTGAGCGAAAAGCTCCTAGTAGTGACATATTAAACGAGACAACGCAAGCGGGCTATAAGAGGCTTACAGAGAGGTTGCTTGGCTGCCCATGCAACTGCAGCTTTACAGGTGATGACCTAGAAGTGACATTTGAGCTTTGCTGCAATTTGAACGTAGGACTTAAGAAGGAGGCTTTTGGCACCATCAATCTACCTGCGGTAAGCTTTACGTACCTTTCCTACTGTGTCTGCCATTGCTTTTAGTGTTGCCGTGCTGTAAACCTCAAAAAATCGGATTTTGAATCGTGATGAACAACGTCACAACTTTTATTTGCAACTCAAGTCTCGAGAACTGTCAGCCGCTGATTGTGAAATAGTTGTTTGACTTGATTGGTTTTTGTTCCAGACGTGCCCAACGCGTAACGTGAAAATTTTGGACATCAATCCAAGATGTTGGCACGATTACGCGATGGACTACGAACTCAACGCTCAATGGTATTTTTACCGGCACGATATTGCCAAGGACCCTACAAGTGTGGTCATGCATCAGAACCACCACAGACGCGATGTAGAGTTCATCACGTCGTTTTCCATCTCAGACCGGCCTCAATTTTGCACAGAATACGCATTCTGAAGCCTTGAGAATCACTTTTACGTCGTTGTCGCAAACACACTCCCAATGGCTCAGTTGGCAGTGAGGAAGANNNTCTTCCTCACTGCCAACTGAGCGGAGACGATGACAGAGATCAACACTACTCTTGCAACACAGTGTCGGAAGTGCTCTCTGTGACAAACCAACGTGTAAGAAGCCATTTAAAAACGATGAGACCAAAGTTTATTTTTGAGCGGGTTCCAAAGCTTGTAAAACAATGTGAATGTAAGGAATTTATCAGTCCAACTGCCCTTCGGTGTTTTTTACAACTTGGCTCTCAATTCAGCTTCACGTTGACGGTACATTTCGTACTTGACTCGGAGCTTGTCTGCGACAGAGAGCTCGCTTCTTGCCAATTGCTGGCTGTGTGCTTCATCTGGGCCATCTTTTGACGGTTGGGAATGTAGGAATATGGTTAGAGTTTGTCTTGTGATTACATTTCTGTGTTGCGGGTAGAACAATTAGCTCGGCGAAAACCTACCAGCGAATCGCAAGTGACGGATGTGAGCCCACATCTTGGCGAGTTCGGTACCTTGAGAGATACCCAAACTGAAAAAAAATGTTGAGAGTTAAGATCTTGTCCAAGTACGAAACCACACAGCGCAGCAATCGAGTGTACTCATAACTTACCCTCCGTAAACTTGGATGGCGGAGTCACTAAGTGGAATCAACGTCAGCCAAACATTCAGACCAACCTCTCCGCTTTCTTGCAAACTCTTACATGATGTTACAAGCCATACGAGGAACCTAGAGCAATAAAGTATCATCAGTAGTTGCCCTATGTATATCCTCATCTTCCAGCAGGGTCCCCAAAATGTCTGGTTCGATTCTGTACCACAGCATTTTTCCCCCGAATAGTTTGAACGTTAACGCAACTTTGGTTGCTTGTGTAACGTCAGGCATAAAAAACCTCTGAATACGTACCTTGATCTTACACATGGCGATTTCACGACGAGCGTCCTTGAATCCTTTCTGATCCATGGCTGATGCCGCATAGTAGACTAAACGCTTGCACATTTCTATACAAAAGCGACGTAAAATCAGTTTACTGTCTCGCTCGCAAAAAAAAACTACATTACACCAACCTAATTCAATTCTGGCTTCAGTCAAATCCCACTGAATCTTTCCTTGTTCACCCTTTAGCTTGTTGAAGGGTCGTTTCTTGGGGTTGGTGGCTTCCAAGACAAATAATTCGAGGGCACGGTCTGCAACACCCAAAGTTCTCATACTGCGAAAAAAATTATTGAAAACATGTCCACAACTGCGACCGTATGTTTCGAAGTAACCCACAAAGGACGTACCAGTGATGAATACGACCACCACCCAAACGTCCTTGCAAGACGTCGAATCCACGACCTTCGCCAAGAACCAAGTTCTCAACTGGGATTTGGAGGTTTTCGAACAAGAGTTCGTCGTGACCGTGAGGCTACAAAAAAACACCGATAAGTATGTTAGAAAATCACTCATCGATTGCACGCTACAACTTACTGCATCATCATAACCAAAGACAGTCATATGACGGATGATCTTCAATCCAGGGTACAATTTACGGTCTGGAGTGTACTTGGGCACCAACACAACCGAGTGCGAAGTGTGGCGGCCACCCATATCATCAGTCTTTCCAACCACGATATAGAGTTCACATTTGGGGTTGGACGAGTTTGAAATCCAGTGCTTGCGTCCGTTCAAGATGTAGTGCTTGCCATCCAAAGTCTTTGTGATTTTGAAGTTTAGATTGGTAGCGTCGGAACTTGCGACATCGGGTTCAGTCATGGTGAAGGCCGATCTATCATAAACCGCGTGAATATATAGTGCAACGCCAAAATGGTTTGCAAATGGACAAGACTTACCGGATTTCAGCATTCATCAAAGGCTTCAACCACTTTTCCTTTTGGGCAGGGCTGGCGAACTTGGCCAACAATTCCATGTTGCCGGTATCTGGGGCTGCACAGTTGGTAGCAGTTGAGGCGAGGCCAGATCTTCCTAGAGTTTCGCAAATGACGGCGTATTCCATGGTGGTGAGACCGGGTCCGAGTTCTCCGTATTCTTCGGTCAAGAACTAGGATGATTGATTTGTGTGAAAAGGTGAGTCCACGTTGCAAAGTTTGAGCAAACTTGCATCGCCTGATACATACCATGTTCCACAGGCCAAGAGCTTTAGCCTTCTTCTTGAGGTCTTCTTCAATGGCTGGGGGAGCTTCCCATCGTGTCTTCATAGCGTTCTGTCAAAAAAACAAGAGAAGTTAGTTGAAAAACAAAGAACGATGCACGACGAACGTAATCACTACGTCGTAGCATCCATAACCAGATCACTCGATATCTTTTTCAATGCACGCCTGCACATATGACGTCGATACGAAATCCAAAAAAACCAAAGCAAAGTGCAACGGATGGGCAACCACCGTCTTATCAACATACCAATTGATCTTCCCAAATCTTTTGAGCTGGGATACATTCAGTCTATAGACAAAAAAACCCATTTTAGAATAGTACTGTCACATCACCCCATGCTTTGTATCTCCTACTTCTACGAAAGCCTTGACTTTTTCCAGCATGGCGGCAGCCTTTGGCGACATCATGATACCGGATTCATGCATAATTGAACCCGGTTTGGGTTGGGCGGCTACGTGGTGGTGAGCAGACATGTTTATGAAGCTAGGTTGGTTAAGATGTTGGCGAGGTTAGTAAACGGTGTATCAGTAAGCGACTCTGAACGGTGTGAGGATGCAAGATATGGTCCCGACTTACTTTTCTTATTCCTCTCGTAGACGACTTTGGTGTTGAAAGTCTGTGTTTGCAGGAGGTCACACAACTTCCTTGCAGTCACAGCTGTGACGTATATACCCAAACCGGAATAAACACTCTAGGGTGGAAGTCATCGCCACGTAGTTCATAGTCAAAGCAATGCACGACGCGATAAGATGCATGTGAAATGCACTGTTCCTGTCTGATACTTTTCATTCCCTTGACGCAACTCGAATTCTATAACTTCTTGTACCTTGATCTCCAACCTCCATATTATTAAAAGGCGTGAATATACCATAATATAATACTATTTGGTATTAAATAACTTGAGCTTTTCGCGTTAGCCTTGACGCTATACTTGATTTCCTACCTTTCATCACCTTTACGCGAATCCAACCACTTTAAACCTACACTCCCTATCGATCATGTACCCCGTAATCAGAACAGTTCTCCGTGAAGTCAACAAGCAGGTATTTCCCCGTATTCCAATCCTCCCGTCCATCAAAGCATCAACCTCACACGTCAAACAAATTAGTACACATCACGAAACAACAACCCCATATGGAAGAACGAGCTCCTATCTCAGATCCGAGCAAGCTCTAAACTTGAATCGGCAGAACTGAAGCTTGCGCAACAAAAGCTGCATGATTTGGCTGCGTTTTTAAAGGCATCACGAACGCACAAGGTATGAAGAAAAGCGGATTGTCGATCGTCGGGATGCTTACATGGGGTATAGATTTTGGTTAATGCACTGAAGTTATATTGAAATATTGATATTTTTTGTAGGAGCTGCTTCTAATGTATTTCCCAGAGTCGCAGATGTCTTCTGAAGAACACGTTCGGAAAACAGCAAACAGAGTTGGATTAAGCACAGATTTCAAAGATCTGTGAGATTCTACTCGTTGCATTATCTACCTCACTCACACTCACCACTGTCACAAACACATGCAGAAAACACACTTGTTTCTTTGATTCTTTGTATAGTAGTATACCACATCTCTTTTTATCAATCGAAATCTACATAATTATTCAGACAACTTCACAAGCACAGCCTCATAGCAAAGCGCAAACTGCTCTAACGTCTGCACCATCGAGACCCGTTGCTCCCTCAGCTTCCTCAGCGTTTCAATGATTGGATCTATAGGATTCTCGGCTGTTGAATCCACAATGGGGTACTCAGATGCCTCCTTCCATCCAGCCAGTATAGAATCAATGGCTATATACGTCCCTGTTCGTCCACATCCTGCAGAGCAATGCACAACTGTCGGCCCTATTGGTGTAGAATATGATATTTTGGAAGATGTCTTAGCCCCATTGTTGTTGTTACTATTGGTAGTGATATTGTTGCTGCTTGCTCCACTGTTGCTGGCTAGACTGTTCCCATTACTATAGTTGGCAGCAGCGGTAGCACCTTCAAACGTGGATGTCGATGAAGCACCACGACGATGTGAAAAACGTTTTACAATGGGTTGTTTAGCTACCGATACGACTTCCTCCCAATTCACCAATGCCGAGAGACTACCGGTATTCATGGGCTTGCCGCTAGCTGCTAGCCTTTCTTCATTCTCGATTATATTTACCACCTCGCGAAGTCGTAGTACGGCTTCGGCGGATGATGCTCGATGATCAGGCCAACCTGTAAAATGGACTTGATAGATACGTCGAGTCTCTAGTACTCCGTCATTACCACGACCCGACAGCCTAAATACACGTACAAATCCACGCAAATCATCCCCACTATCCGAGGCAGCGGCAGCTGTCAAGCTAGCATCGCTCCTTCTTTTTGACAGAGAAAATGCAGAGGCGGACGAAGCGGAGGTAGCTGATAATGTCGATCCTTGTAGATTTTGATTTAGCAGTACTGGTGACGATCGTTTTATGGATAATCGTGGCAAAACCTCGGTAAAGTTGAGTTCTGCAGCATATTCTAAATCTAGACCACCTACTTCAGCCAATCGTAATGCAGTCCCGATTTGATCTGGCCAATATCGAGCACATTTCGGACGTCCTCGTTCTTCGAGTGTCGTCAACATTAAAATCATACGTGACCCAGAGTCCCATATCATCCTCCAAAAGTCTCCAATGGTATTGGTCAGTGGACCTTGAGTAGCAATATACATGTGATTAGAGTACAGGGGTTGGATTAGTGATGCATTTATATAGTCGGATGTGGTTGGGCCTGATGCTGTTAAGCTCGGCGTGGCGTATTGTAAGCGGAATCGATTTCCGTCATATGGTAATATGTCTGTATATCTATTTCTTCTTGAATTGGCTGCTGTACCGGCAGCCCAAAATCCATGCGAATGCCCTCCGTCGCCTGTACCAGCTACGTTATGCGATGTGTTGTATGTTACAGCCTCGGTTATGCGGTCTCGTTCTTCATGCTCAATATCGGCGTATGCTGTTGTCAATAGTTTTGTAGCGTCTTTACTCGACAGAGTCGATAATCTACTGAGCCAGGCTGGGAGTTTGGTAGGATCTATTGCAGCAACAAGACTGGGTATTTGCGATCCTACACCTTTCGACATTGGTGCAGCTGATGTTCCTGATGCTTTTGTTGATGTCGTTGATGGAGGGATCAGGTTTGACAATAGCCCTCCCTTTGTTGAATCGTCAGATGCCGCTGTGCTTAGACCAGAGTTTGCTGCTATAATAGAAGCAGCTAGAGCCTCTTTACTGGCTTTTTTAGATGACTTTGTTCGTAATATATCCAATCGTGGCGGTTGCAATTGAGGACCACCAGCAGTACTACCACCACCTACGCTATTCCCACTTGCAACTACAGCGGCACCACTATCTGACGATGCTGATACACTTGAGCTTCTGGAGCTTGTTAGGAGCGTCTGTCTGTTGTGACCAGAGGCTGTGGAGGATCTTCGCGAAGCTAGCGAGTTTTTCTTTTGGAAGGCAGCTGGGATTGCTGAGATATCGTTCAGTGGGATACTACCGATGCTACTGAGGCTACTGCTATTTTCGAGATTACCAGGTAGTATGGGTGATGTTGCTAGTGAATTGGACGTTGGTGCCTGTTCTACTTCTGTTGATGTTGGTGGTCGAGCAAGACTGTTTTCCTTGTCAGAGGCAGTCTGTGACTCGGGGGCGACTTTATGTGTGGTATTGGAGCTATGCGAACGTCTATGGCCGAGTAGGAAACGAGGCGTCGGATTTGTCGTATTGTTTGTGGTTGCAACCGATCCGTTTGCAGATATTTCGTCAGATGATCTCTGACTAGTGACTGCCTGTATGGCGAGAGCCTGCTCAGAGTCTAGTTCCAAGCTCCCAAGCCTTGTGTGTGTCGGGCGTTCCGAGATTGGCGTTTTCAGTGAGGATGATGATGCCTTGCTGAATCGCTTTGACTTTTTGGAGTCAGGTGTGTCGCCTCCAGAAGCTAAGGAAGATCCGACCTCGTTGGTAGACGCCTTTGAATGCTCCTGCCCCATTCGAAGGCAGCAAACTTGAACTAGGTTAAATGGATGGTTTTGCGTTTGTTACTAGATGGATTTGACGTTTCGCGTTTAGGTAGACATACCTGACAAGTGCCTCCGAATATATGGCCCTCCGTTTCCAAGGTACTTGACAAGTCCGAAAGCTGTCAATGGTCTGGGTCTACTTGATGTTTTGAGCGGTCGATTTTCAAAAGTGAACAATGTGACGTAACAAACCCAAACACGCAAAGAGACGTGTTTTCTTATTAATTTCATCGTTTCATATCTCATTAGAACGACATGTCGCGTACTGATATCCGTCTGAAGCCGGAATCCTCAGAAAACCAAACTTGCGCACCTGTTTTAATCAGGCATAGGAGCAGGGCGAGGACAATCATGCCAGTAGAACCTCAATCTGCCACATCATCTCAGCCCGATGCTGCTCCTGCTACCACTAGTACCAACAACGATGCCCAAGAGAAGCTACACTACACGAAAGTCCTTAACGCATATCAGAACTACCTCTCCCACTCACTAGCATCGCATCGCAAACGGAAGCGAGACTTTTCATCCCTCCCAGCACGCCACAGAGCCATCCTATCCCCGAAATGGGAAGAAAAATGGGACTTGATCAATACGTGCATCCGTGTCAACGGTGCATTCATCGAACACTTGATTGCTGGACAGGAAGACATGATGGACTTTGATTCCGTCGATCATGAGGTCGCAGCTACACATGATGATCATCATGCTGCACATAGCCACGCCAGTCACGACAATAATCGTGATAGTCACACAGCTGCCGTGTCAGACCATTCTCATACTCATGCGGATAATGGACACTCGCATGCTGATAATGGACACTCGCATGACCATGCTGCTGCAAATGCTACGTCTTCGCATGCTCATAAACAGGGGCAAAACAAGACAAAGTCGAGCGAGTCGGATATGGACAAGGTTAGGTCTACTATCAGGCAGTTTGTGAGAGATTGGAGTGACGAGGTATGTCAGAAGTCTAGAGGGTTCATTATTTCGTACACTTTCTCCTTTCTCTGCTCTATCTACTTTTGCGCAATCTACTCACACGCCTTGTAGGGAAAGGCCGAGCGAGATGCTGTGTATACGCCAATGATTCAAGCGCTTTGCAAGGCATTCGAACATGTACCAGTATCACAGAGGTAATACCGTCATGTTGTTCGTCGGGATTTTTTGTTGGTGAAACCCATCCTAAAATCAAACTGACACGTGTACATCATAGAGGAGCGGTATCAGTGCTAGTACCTGGTGCAGGGCTAGGAAGATTAGCTTTTGATGTTGCAAAAGAGGGATTCTCATGTCAAGGTCGGTCTTGTCAAACAAGGCCATTCGATTAATGCCAGCAGCATCTCATTTTTAGTAACCCAGTCTCACATCACCCACTCATCCCACAGGAAACGAATTCTCATTCTACATGCTGATTGCATCCAATTTCGTCTTGAACAGGTATAATCATACGTCTCATGAGCATCCATGTCTGGAAATGACCTTGTACTCGACTCTGCTTCGTTCTGTTTTCTCACCCCGTCCTCTCTCCTCTAGACTCTACTCCAACTACCAATACACAATCTACCCATGGGTCCACTCCCTCTCAAACTCCACATCAGCAACAAACCAGCTCGCTCCCGTCCGTATACCCGATGTCTTGCCCGGCGGGATACCCGAAGGTGCAGACTTTTCAATGGTCGCTGGTGACTTTGTGGAAGTGTATAGTGAGCCTGATCAGCTAGGTGAGCATGTATAAACTTTTGATGAAATCCCCACCCCTACCCCTCGATACCCGGCGCTGACTGGTGTGCAATTAGGTTCATGGAATGCTATATTGACGTGCTTCTTCCTGGACACTGCACATAACATTGTGCATTACATTGAGGTTATTTCGGGGCTGCTTGCGCCGGGAGGGATTTGGATTAACTGTGGTAGGTGTCAGAAATTCCTTGTCCATCAAAGGTTTTGCAATTCAAACTAACAGCACTTGCAATAGGCCCATTGCTGTATCACTTTGAAGGGATGCCCGGCGAAGTATCATTAGAACTGTCGCTAGAAGAAGTGATGTCCGTTATCAAGCAATATGGATTTGATATTATCGTAAGTTTTGTCGCTTTTTTTTCTCGTCGCAGTTTTTAACACCCCACGTCAACATTTAGGAAGAAAAGTTCCTGCCATCGACATACGCATCAAACGTAAACAGTATGCTTCGATACCAATACAACAACAGCTTCTTTGTAGCTATAAAACATAAACCCCAAGAATGAGTAAAAACAAATAGACTTGTGAATATAATAAGCAAAGCAAGATAAATGATATTTTCATGAGTGTGAAGATGTTTGTGTTTTACGACTTATTGCAAAATGCAGCAACAACGAATACTGCTATTTGGTTGTTACATTTATAAAACTACATAGTATCCTTTCTCCTTTTTCAACACCACGAAAAGCACGGCCGAGAGCGCGTAAACGACTCAAAGCGATGCCGGACTTCCGTGAAAGCTCTCCGTCGTGGCAACCCATGGCCATGTTCGTGCTCGCTGCCGGCACTAGCAAGACCGTCTCCTGTAGCGGTGGTGTCTAGCACTATTTCTTCAAAGACTGCTACGACTGGACGACGTACGAGAGCCCATGGTGATCCTGTATCTGGATTGTTGAGTTCTGATTGTCGTAGGACTTCAACGAGATTGTATCCTTGGCCGCGAATGACTGCTTTTTGACGGAGCCACATGTTCTCCTTGAAATCTATATAATAGATAGAGCTGGGTTTAGTGATCATGATGGTGACAATAAAAAAAAGACGATGAACCTGAGGTGGATGTTTCAGTCGAAATAAGAACAGACGACGGATGCAATAACACTATAATAAATATGATAACATCCAAAAAGTTACCTGGATCAATCCTAAACAGCAGCTCCAACCCATCAAACGTATCCTTCCACCATTCCTGCGACGTCAACAACGGCAGCAAAAGCGCTCTCGTTGCAGCAGAGAAGGGTACACGAGCACACGGCAATGCAGCCCATCCAAACGGATACGATCTAAATCGATCAGGGTGTTTAAACGGGAATGCCAATCCGTTATCTATCCCAGCCACACGAATAGATGGTTGCTGAATAGCATGTAGAGGATGTGGTGTTGCTGGTGATGAAGAAGCTACGATTCCACTATGTGATGATGTTGATATGTTTGATGGAGGAGTTTGTTGGGTAGCGGTGGATCTGTTTCTGCCTGATATTTTGAGATCTGGGATTAGTGGTGGCGATGTGTCGATGTTTATTGATGTGATTGTTCTTGCTGAAGTGGGTGTCATTGCTGATGATGGAGTTGTGGCGGATACGTATGCGGAAGATGCGGTTGATAAAGGTGAATTTATAGCGGGATTATTGACATTATGACTTGTACTGTTTTCATGTTCTACACCATTTCCAGCAGTACCACCGCTACTTGTTGACGTTCCATTTGCTGCGAGTTCCGGCGGTGCACTAGTATTTCTATGTAAAAGTTGAGACAAGTTTGACTCTCCTGCAGGTGGTGGTAGTTGTGGATGTGGATTCGCTTCTTCCAAGTCAGGATTATACTTGACCATCCAGTTGTCAAGACCACGATCTGTATTGCGAATTAAATAATCAATGGCTACGAGCCGTTCGAAACCATATTGAAATTCCCGTTGTGTCTTTTCTGTCCATGCACTATTGTTTGGTTGAGGTCGTAACAGCGAGGAGCTGAGACTACCAAAACTATCATATCCTCGTATAGGAGACATTGGCCGTTTAACGTTATTACTACCGTTGGTGGTACTACCATTACTATGTACACTATTAGAGTTGGCGTCTGTAATTGCAGATATTGGCAGGCTAATCTGAGAAGCAGTCTTCAAAACTTGATCATATCCTTCCCGGAAGAAGATTGTAGCATCTTTATAACCACGCAAGAATATCTGGAAGCTGCCTAGTTTAGGAGGTAGTGATTTCCCCTTCTTTTCATACGCACGACGATCCAGTGGCCCATAAAAGAAGGCAGGACTAGCGAGTGCCACGACTTCAGTTCTAGGCACCACACCCAATGCCAGTCTCCGATCAAAGTAGCTAGCAGCGGCTTCAGATATATATCCCAGATTTGGAATCAGACAAGATCGACCAAAGCAGCACGGTAACAGATTTTTGTGCAGCCACTTTACCCATTTCGGGTTGAGGTTGCCATACGGCTCTTCATTCTTTGGTTTGAATACACCTACTATATCGCCTTGTCTGTTGCGACAGAAATAGGAGCCTGAGGAGCCTTGTTTGATTCTGAGTGGTTGTATACCATCGGCGATGGCGAGTCTGACTTCCTCGACGAGATCCAAGAATTGGGCGGAATTGTAGGGCGTCAATGGAGGGAGTGGATTTACAAATTCGGGGAAAGAGTCGACGAGGGAATCACGAGGGTTATTGATAGGAGGTGATGTTGAAGCGGATGTTGTGATGACACGAATGGATTTAGACCATTCTGGAGCCTAGTATGAAGAAATGGATGAGGAACGATCTAGAGTATATGTGGCTGGTATCTTCTTTGCTACAAGCTTCAATGGGAACATGCCTGCCTTCCAGGTATTGCTAGAGTTTTGGTTTGCTCGTCACTTTGAGATTCATTATTATCGAGCTTGACATAACCACTACGTGACATTACTTGGAATGAAGCTATCTTGTTAGTCCCTAGCTCCTTTTCCTTACACTTGGCAAGTCAGCCAACAAGTTTCACGTTTTTGAGACAGCTCTTGGAGTCGAGGTGTTTTTGCACGTGGCGACATCGGGACAAAGAAATGCATAATTATGACATTACGAAGGTGAGCGAATACCTTTACTTGCTTCATTAGATTTATAGACGTGTATTCTACCTAAAGTTTGATATGAAAGCTGAAAGTGTGATCTCACGACGAGTCGATCTTCCAAACATCACGGTGAGAGATGAGCACATACCAATACGCTTATAAGCTACTGATGCACGTATCAACATTTCATTTATTTAGCATCATCTCGGACACTGCCATTCCGAAACAACAAACACACAAACACTGCTTTGATTTTGTTTTGATTGAACTTTGGCCGTGTCGTATGGCCTTGCTGATCGGCCAAAATCACCAATGCTAGGGATAAAAGGGGTACCTCCAGCACCTGCACATCAGCTGCCATCGCCACTGCCATCTCCGCTCTCGTCCGTCCCAACCTCTCCCAAAGGTGGTAACATTGTCGGAGCGAACATAAATACAAACATCACAGCATCATCCCCATATCCAACCGACAACGCAAACGATGCATCCCTCTCCTGCCACCGTAGACCGAAAGCAACCCCACATAAATCTATCTCAAACACCAGTAATCAAGTAAAGAACTATCCCGACATGACCAATGACGAACAACCCAATGATACCACACTTCGACTGGACTATTATCAAGACTTGATCAACAATCCGAAAAACTATTACGAGCAGGTGCTGAAACAGTTTAGGAGTAGTGTCGCTGCTAGTCCCACGACAAGGAAACTACAAAAGAATTCAACTACTCTGAAACGAGACACTGTATCCACTACCACATCAACAACGTCAAACACCGTCACTGCAGCATCTGTAGTTGAATTCTCGCATAAAGACCTCCCGGAAGAGTTACAGGACCTAGACATTTATTCTATTGATTTGGAAGGATCAAAGTGGAAGGATACTCAGGGGGCAGTTAAGGTTGAATGGAGGAAAGGTATGACATTGGGCGTTCTCTAAACAGAGTCAAGACGTTCTAGGCTCGCGATTTGTGATTTGTGTTTGACTGTGTAAAGATATCGTCAACCTACAATCGTGTTTCGTAGGTCTGCCACTAGAGCTCCCCACACATCTGGATGGCTACTCTCTTCTCACTACCGAAGAAATACATACATGCCAAACACTAAGGTTCTTGCCCTGCCAGTATTTATTCATCAAGCGGGTATTGCTCTCGGCTGTAAAGGTACCCTTAGCTGAAATCAACGACCCCTTTCATAAGCTTACACCCAATTCTCAATCACCAGGAAAAGTGGTTTAGGAAAGTAGACGTACAAGGATGGTTTCGCATGGATGTGAACAAATCAGCCAAAGTATATGACTGGTTTGTTTCATTGGGATGGCTGCCGGGGGATATCGACGAATGGAGGTCGACACACGATGATAGAAAACCACCACCACGTATTCCGGCAAAGAAACGGCCACAAACTGTGGCGAGAACGCCTACATAAAAAACAGAATCACCAAATATCATGTAGTATTGTAGTAGTAGAAGGGCTTCCCAAAGATTAGCATGCCAAATAACAAAGGTTTTGTATATATAGTATAGATAACACATCCCACACACACCATAACAAATAAAAAAGAATATAAAAGTGTATTTTTTTGTTGGGAGAGGTTGAACAAATGCAAAACGTTATACTACTACAAGGCTTTAGATGCAATAGCATTCAACGCACTACCGGCCGTAAACCACGACCACTGATCAGCCGACATGGTATGCTGCACCGGAACATCAAATGCAGGTCCACTTGCAGGCTGTATCCTCAATGTGATTTCCTGTGGCGTCGATGACTTGGCTGCTGCACCGAGATTCAGTGTAGATACGCGGCAGTTGGGTGTGATTTTGTCATAGTCAGCAAGGTTTTTGAATGTTACGGGTAGGATGCCTTGTTTCTTCAAGTTGGTTTCTATAACGAATGTTTCATGAGAGTCTTTCCGTGTTTTGGCACCAATGGAATAAAGTAAGACGCCAACATTGGCAAGGTGCGCATACCGTGAATACGAGCAAACGATCTAGACACGATTACGCGACATCCCAGATGTCGTGGTTGTAGTGCAGCATGCTCGCGTGCAGATCCCTCACCATAGTTGGAATCAGCTACTATAAGCCATGGCACATTGGCGGCCTTATATGCTTCGCCCACATTTGGGATGCTGTCCTCCTACAACCAAAAAAATATACATCGATATCTGTAAGCACGATAAAACCGTCATAGCTACACACCTTCTTCGTCAGCTCGTTGACCGCAACTCCAACCTTACCCCCCGCGAATTCATTCACAGCACCAATGAGTGTATTGGCCGAAATATTACCTAAATGTCCTTTATATTTCAACCACTTGCCAGCAGCTGATATATGATCTGTAGTGCATTTGCCAACAACCTTGACAGGCACTCTCAAATCCTCCATCTCAGAACCATCCCAGCTCGCGAACGGCTGCAGCAATTCAAGACGGGATGATGAAGGCGATACGGTTATTGTTATGTCGGGGTTTGGGTGTGGTGATGCGACGGGTGCGCCGTATACGTCGCGACCTGTTAGGAAACCTGATGGTGGGAGGTCGGCGCCTGATGGAGGGGCGAATTTAAAGCCGGCAACAGAGTCGGTGGCTGGGTTGAAGGATAATTTGCCAGCAAATGCCATTGCTGTTACAATCTGATGCATGTGTGGAGTTAGTGATTTCTAAATTTCCCGTCTCCAAAGTCCTCCTTTTGTGCTGTACCTCAGGTGACGCCAAAAAGTTCATAGTCTTGGATTTGCCATCATTTCTGGATCGGAAATTACGATTGAATGAGGTCAAGATCGCGTTCTCTTCATCTTTCTGCATATCAGTCCTCTTCCATTGGCCAATACCTAGTGTTAAATTGTCAAGAAATATTCTGCGTATGCTTCACAATAATTGTTTTTGCTCATTTGGACTTACATGGTCCACATGCATTAGCTAGTACCTGACCACCCACACTGGTCAACACATCCGTTTGACCATCTCGTTCAATGGTAGCTCGAATCTGTTCTGAGCCTGGCGTAATCAGGAATTCAGACTTGACCTTCATTCCATTTGCAGCTGCTTGTTTTGCAATTGATGCTGCTCGAGACCTGTAACTTGTCTGTAAGACGCTTGGCGTGTTTTGGAATGCAAGGCATACTTTTGTTTTCTCTACACATGAAACTCACATGTCTTCGTACGAGGAATTGGTACATGATCCAATCAACGAGACTTTGACTTCATCCTTCCATCCTTTCGATTTGACCAAATCCTTGAATTTGGATATTGGAGTTGCAGCATCTAGATTGGAAGCCATTGAGAATGAATATGCTCGTATCGCAGATTGAGAATCAATATGGTGGTTCCCAAGGGTTTTTTTTGTCTCAACTCACCAGGTGTGAATGGACCATTGATATGCGGCTCAAGTTCATCAAGTTTAATTTCAACAACTTGATCATAATGAGCATTAGCATCAGCCTTCAAGAATCCGGCAGCCAGAGCATGATCAGCAGCCTGTGCCACCTGCTCTCGTCTCGTAGCATTAAGATATCTCTTCATGGCAGCCGTATAAGGAAACACAGACGTCGTAGCACCAACTTCAGCGCCCATATTACATATCGTGCCCATTCCAGTACAACTGAGTGAATCCACACCAGGACCGAAATATTCGACAATATGGTTTGTTCCACCTTGCACAGTCAATAATCCAGCCAGTTTCAAGATGACGTCTTTTGGTGATGCCCAGCCATTGAGCTTGCCAGTTAGACGGACGCCCAATATTTTAGGTGCTTTCAGTTCCCATGGGATGTTGGCCATGGCGTCGACGGCATCGGCACCTCCTACACCAATAGCAATCATGCCAAGACCACCAGCATTTGGTGTGTGTGAGTCTGTTCCGAGCATGAGACCACCTGGTGCTGCATAGTTTTCGAGTACGATTTGATGAATGATTCCTATAGATGTTCGACGAGTCAGCCAATACATCTTGAATTCACTAACAAACGAATGGACAGCGACAAAGAGACAAGGCTCACCACTTCCAGGCTTCCAGAACCCGATTCCGTACTTCTCAGAAGCATCTCGCAAAAAGTCAAAGATCTCCTTGTTTGTTATCATTGACGAAGCAACGTCCTTGTCACCACCTTGATGGGCTTCAATAAGATGGTCACAGTGAACTGTTGTAGGTACAGCTGTGGTTTTCATTCCAGCGTTCATGAATTGTAAAATGGCCATTTGAGCACTTGCATCTAGTGAAAATACGAGTAATGTCGGTGATCGTAGGGCAAAGACACGCGAATTTGATTTAGGCTGTACCTTGCATGGCAGCTCGATCTGAAGCAAAGCAGAAGTTGAAAATGAGTAGTAGATGAAAAGAGTGAGCGTCGCTCCAGGGTCACGGAATTGTTCGGGCATAAACGATAGAGTTTTTTTTTTGCGAGTACCCTTTCATCCTTAAAACGTTGACATACCTGGCGACAGCTTGAGGTAAGTTTCGCCACGAACAGGCGTAAGCGATTCAGGGTTGATCATATGAGAGTAAACGATCTTTTCAGCCAGCGTCAATGGCCTGTTCAAATTCTTGTTGATCCATGACAGATTTGCCAATAGTTTTTCGTAGGGTGGTATTATTGGCGATTTCGGGTAGAGAGACGTTGCATGAGTAGCTAAGGCACGTGAATGTATCCGTCTTGCCTTTGTTTGATACGTGATGAAGGTTGAGATTGTTTCGTTCAAGTTTTGAAAGTCAGACATAGCATCATAGAAGAACAAACTTTAACGACAAGAACAATTCAAGGCTATTATAGCAACGCACCTGAGACCGTACACAAGTCGTGAGCCTCATTCTAGTGAGTATCCTGCCTGGAAGTGTGATGATTTAAGAGATTTGTCAACTCGCAACGTTTCTAAAACGTAAATACAGACAAGTCAAGATTGACCACCGACATCCTAACTCGCATCGTTATTATTTAGATATCCTTACAAGTTGGTGCAAGTGCCACCCTATTACTAGATCAAAGCATCTCTCATAACCATGATGAAAAAGGCCACCATCGAATCCGATGAGGAAGACTTTGAGCAACAGCCTAGCAGATTACCTGACTCGTATGCAAAAGACAGCTCAAATGGTCCAAATGGTATACTCTATCACCAATTACGAGTATTACATGAACTCTGACTCACTTCAACCGTTTCTCAAATAGACGGCTTTCTGAGTGAACTAGAGGATGATTTAGAGGCAGGTTCATCTTATGAGACTTATTAGTACCACCGTGTAATCATTCTCTTCATATAGGACTTGGACTTGACGCACCAGAGAATATCAACCACAAAGGGACTTGGACTTGAACGCTTCCAGTTCTTACAGGTGCATATTTATCATTATACTATTTATATCAAGGAGTCATCTTGCTCATTCAATATCACGACTATTATAGACATTATCATTACGTCAGAATCTACTCTCCAAGATTGAAGGACTAGAGACATTGCAACAGTTACGTGAGCTGGACTTGTATGACAACCGTATCGTGAATATCGAGGGATTGGATGCTTTGAGTAGTCTCAAGTGAGTTGATTTCTCGGCAAAAAGAGGCCAACCACCTATAGATTGCTGAGGTTCACCATCAAACCTTAACTATAGGACACTCGATTTATCCTTCAACAAGATCAAAGACATCTGCAATATTGACACTCTTGTGAATCTGACAGACATATATCTTGTGGCTAATCGCATCTCGGTCATTGAAGGACTGGAAAAGCTCGTCTTGTTAACTCAGGTCGAATTCGGTGCCAACAAGATTCGTGTAAACTTACTTGTTGCTATTTCGGTTTTGGAGCCTTGCTAATTGTCATTCATATATTAGGTGATTGAGAATCTAGATGCACTTGTGAATCTCACTCAGTTATGGCTTGGAAAGAACAAGATCACCAAGATACAGGTATGAGTTGAGTATATGCGGGGTAGGTGCAATATATCTAACGAATCGGGTTTGAACAGGGATTGGACAAGTTAAAGAATCTCAAGTTGCTCAGTATCCAGGTAATGCCAGACGTTACAGGTGTCATCTTGCATGATCATCGGACGATTTTTTTCTCACACCAATATATGATAGTCCAATCGACTGAGATCTATCGAAGGCCTAGAAGCGTGTGTCAACTTAGAGGAACTCTACCTGTCTCATAACGGAATCGAGCGTATTGAAGGTGTAGAGGCCTGTGTCAAGTTACGGACATTGGACATTGGCAACAATCGGATTAGCGTGCTGGAGAATGTTGCCCATCTGGCAGATCTAGAAGAATTATGGGTAATTGAATACTTGTATAGTAAGGCTTTTTTTTATTCATCATCTCACACGCTCTTGCTGTAGGCTTCCAACAATACCATATCATCATTTGAAGAAGTTTCCAGTCAGCTTGGTCATCTCGCTAAACTGGAGACTGTGTACTTTGAAGGGAATCCGCTACAAACTCAGCAAGCTACTCAATATCGGCGCAAGATCAAGATTGCATTGCCAACCATCAAGAAGATTGATGCGACGAATTGTTAGGGAGTAGTGACAGTGTAGTCATATTGGAACTACTAGTCATAATAATAGAAACTCATTGCAAAAGCAAAAGAGTGCCATTCATTCACAGGTGGTTATGATCTTCTATTTCTCAATTACGTCGATCAAGTTTGTTCAAGCGGCTCCTCTCTTCGATCCTTTCCAAGCAATATCGGACAGGCTACCCTGGATTCCTGTGAAGTTCCAGCGTTGGAAAGCTTACACGAGGTTGCTTTCACGAAGTATTGGTGGTGAGCCTGAAGTAAAGATCTAGGCTCATGTTTCGGAGCTATCCATCGGAATTAATCAACATGAGCAGGGGATCTAGCTCAGGTGGTAGAGTGTTCACTTCTGTCGCGTGTGGGCTGGCTTACCGCTGAAGAGTTTGGTGTGTTAGGCGTGTTTGGGTTGGTGAACAAAATGCGTGTTTTGAGGTCAAATGAACAATGAGCTGGACTCAGAGAGAGAAGGAATTGTGTATAATTGATTAACGAACAAGATCGCCGTGTATGTTGCATCAGTCTAGGCTGGAATGTCTGGTAAACTAGACTACCCCTTTGTACTTCTGCAGTTTGGAAATGCGTTCTCACACCTCTTTTTGTCGTTATTCAGGAAACAAGGGTTTGAAATCCTCCATTGCTCGTCCGGCAGAGAAAAACAACAATGACTCTCAGAGTCTAATGATCTTGTTTAACTCGTGGTTTGCAATGATGGGTAAGTAAAACCTCGCTGTATTGTTTCAAGTAAAAGAAGAACGCTGAATGAGTACTTTGGCAGGTCGTGATAGTGTAAACAAGAAGTTTTTACATCTCGCCGAGCGCAACAATTCAAGAACTGATGTGCTGCTAGATTTGTATTACTCTTGGCTTGGGAAGCTCGTTTAGTCCCTTGTCCGTTTCTGTTGTAATGTTTCCTTGTTTAGGGTAACTGAATTCCCCTTTGTAGGGTCGAAATACTTGGAAGATAAGCTAAAATCGATAGCCATTCGAAATAATGGTGATCCATCGAATATCTCAAATCTCTATCATAAGTGGATTGGTCGTCTTGGTAAGAAGCGCTCCAGAAGTAAGCAGTGTAGTCGATTTTCTGATCATGTCTCTGCAACTAGGAGTCAAAGGCTCGAAACAGTCTCTGACTGCTATAGTTGTCAACAATGGTGGTTAATCTGGTCAAGCTATACTACAGGTGGATTGGGCGACAAAGGAAAGAGACTGGCAGGTGGAAATTTGTAGTTGACCGTGCCATTTTGGGGACGACACCATCTCCGATACTTATGACCTTTTACTATTTCAGCTCCTAAACCTCCAATATCAAGACCATTCTATGTGGGGCCAGTCGCTATCCTAACGTGTCGCAACTGCGACAACGTGCAAACAACTTTCTATTTCGATGAATACTGCCATGTCGCAAAAACCAGACGTCATCGGGCCTGTATCAATGGGCGTGAAGGATAAAATAGTGAGGGGGATTATTCTGTGACGAATCAGCACTATTTGCAAACTTATCACCAGAAAGACCTTTGTGATGGCTTGCGTTTACTGTGTACATGATTGAATGGCAATAGATTTTCTTATATAAATAAACAAACTGAATCCTGAATCGTGTAAGAAAGTGATTTGGTTTGTATCAAAAGTGTTCCAGTGGGATAAAAACCAAAGCGTTGAAGAAGAGGAGTGGTCGGACCAAAAAATGTGGAGTCAGTGGGAGTCGAACCCACGGCTTCACGCACACTTGTCAAACGACTGACTATGCGAAGCGTGCACTCTACCAACTGAGTTATGACCCGTCTGCCGGAAGAGATTTCATCGCTGGTTTATCAATCACTCCAAGCCTCCCTTATTTGGAACCGCACCCGAATTAGTAATAATGTGGTAATAATCGTAAATTTGCGGGACTATAATCCCAATAGAATGCACAAGCCAAAAAAAAACCTCCCGAGTTAGCAGCCTAGTTGCACCATGTTCAACCAAATTATTACAGTTTGTTGCTGATGTGGCTGATATGAAACCACCGTTCTGCTTTCGAAACTTTTTGAAGCCGATTGGATTTGACATCGTCTCAGATGAAAGATACATCTTTACAAGTAAAGATGAGGACTAGCTGTTTAGAGCTTCATTGCACACGAGTATTCTATATAACACTGGTCCTCTCCCTGTTTCTAGACTGTCCGTCGTTGCTCACAAACTCAAGTACACTGTGACTTTCAAAATCACGTTACAAGCGTGATAGAAGCTCAATGGCTCGTATTTGCGCATAATTCAGAATATTTTAGCTGGTATTTTACCGTTACTACTCTGGTCGTCCACATTTCCACAATTCCATATTTCCCATTCCCTCGTTTTGCATAAACACAGAACAGGAAAGGAACGCATCCATGTCCTTCCTCAACTTTGACGACATACACTACTTTTCTCTCGCCGGATTCACTCTCAATGCAGAGGAGCGCGCGGCCCTCTCATCGTCCCTAGTCCTGTTACGACAACACGAACGATTATCATCCACCTCCTTGTGGGGCAAGGTATTGGGAATCCAAAAGGACTATTTCGTCGCTCAGGGAATCACTGATGATCTGTTTGCAAGAAAGTACTTTTACAGGTAAGCATCAGGTGTAATGTGGTGTGGTGTGGGAAACATCGATTTCGTGTGTTTTGGAAACATTGTGAGGGGGGTAGTTCTGGGCAGTTGTAGTGAGAAAGGAGGGAACGAATGATTGTATTACTGTTTGTGCTATCTGATCTGATGCTGATCTCCTCGATATGCTCTGATACGAACCCCATATTTGTTAGCATGGACATGGTCAACTGGTTGCAACTCCCACAATTGGCACCTCCGGAATTAATGCGCTCTGAGAACATATTGAGTCGTTTCCTCGGTGATCCATCGTTCGAATATGCTGTTACAGGTAAAAGGAAGAGCCTTGATTTGAACCATGTTATTTCTTCGGCATCCATTGACTCTCATCATTCCGTTGGAAACAACTACTCTAGAAACCACTCCTGAAGACGCCGAAAAGCCTCCCGTCATAAACGAAGAAAAGAGATTGGCTGGTTTGGTTGCTCTCATCAACCATGAAGCGCAAGTCGTTCCTCGTGGTGCATACTATCGAGATGCGCTACACGAACTTAAATCCAACCCTTCATTCCAAGGTACATATAAATATCCATCAACCCATATTATCACGAAACTCAATTTTCATTCATGGTATTTAGGTCTACCTGGAAGCGACGCTGGATTCTTGACTTCATACCAGCACTTTCGCCCAGGCTTTAAATTGGACTTGAAGACTGTCAAGGACTTGGGAGCCAACTATGATGAGTCTATTGATATCTTTGATCCAATCTCGAAGGATCAACCTAATGGTATAGATAAATATTGCAATACGCGTTTTCCCCCAAAGTCTGAAGCATTACTGAATGGCCAAATCACAATAGGAGTATGGTCACTACAACAAGAACAAGGTGGTGAAGTCATCTTGCTACGATCTCTCCTCTGGCCTGGATATACCTTCTTCCATACTCCCACACCATCCAAATTCGGATCAATGTACTGTGGAAACGGTCAAAAGAATGCCAATATTGGCTTCATGTTGTAAAGCAATGATTTTTTCGTTAGAGCGTCTGACTGTAGATAAAACATTTAATATTACAAAACACGCAAATTCTTTCTTATATTATTTACTTGCAATATTGACAAATGCTTTAAATCATACTCACCCTTGTTTGAAACAATCAGGTTAGATCATACGCCCTTCTCACTTGAAACAATCATTCTCCTCATCATACTCCCCGACAATCCCCAGATTGAATTCCAACCGTGCGGCCATCTCCTTCAATGTCAACACCCTCATCTCCGGCTCCTCTACATCGTGACTCGTTTCAGGCGGCCTCATGAGCAGAATCAATGGATTGGTTTCCTGGTACCAGTCATTAAACGATGATTCCGGCTTTTTATTTGCAGATGGATTTACAGGTCCAATGGAATCACGTAGTTGCTCTAGAGCTTCTTTGGTGACGCTCGTCCATTTTGTTATTAGGGCGTCGACCTTGTGTGCCTCGTCCTGCAAGAACAATTCGAGTTTTTGTTATATAACAATGCGAAAAAACGGCCGAGAAGAAAGGCACAATACATACAGTCTCCTGATGCTTCCTGAACAACCTCTTCTTCCTCAACTCTTCCTCCACCTCACGTATCTGAGCCTCCAAATCCCGTCGCTCAGTTTCCAGCACCTGCAGTTCTGGATTCTGTTTGATCAGCAGTGATGTTGCTGCATCGTGATGTCCAGCACCACTACTACCATGCAAGGGTTTGAATGGCGATGATGAGGTTGAAGATGATGATGGCAAGGTTTGTCTGAGAGAGGTGGTACGACCCGTACTAGTAGTCCTACTGGGTTTTATGGGTGGGTTGGACATCATTGGAGACTTGAATGCGGTTTGAGGGGTTCCTATTCCTGAGCGACGACGTGATGACGGTATGGGTGCTGGTTTGGGTGGGATTGGGATGGTTGGTGGTGGTGCTGCTTCCTAGAGAAGTTCATGGTTATGGAAGTGTTGATAGAGGCTCAATTTGATTAAAAGTGTACCTTGATCTAAAAGAGCGAGAAACAACATGCTTTAGCATTACAGCAAGAACGACCTTAAAACAGACGTACCGGCTCATCATCTACAATAAAATCTATCAAATAAAAAGAAAACAAATCAGCATCACTGATACACCTCATCCAAACCGCGATCCAGTGCTTAACGACCTACAATCATGACTGAAATACAACACAACCTCCTCATCATCTGACACATGTAAAGTATACGATGCTACTATTTTACATGCTATCAAGACACTGAGCAAAGCTGAAGCTCGTTCTTGTGCCTTGTGTGATGACTTTCGAGCTGTTAAAAGCGAGATGAGCTCGTCCCTTGTTGATGGAGCTAGCGGTGCGTTGACTAATGAATCAAACGACAGGCGTAATAGTGAATGTGGGGGTGATATTCGGTGTGTCGTTCCCTCCTGTTCTTGTTCTGCTGTGAGCATATCGCAAGTCACTGCGTCCCTGTTGGGTTTAAAGTCTGAATGTTGAACGGGAGAATATACGTGGAAAAGGCAATTCTTTTGAGTTTTAAAAAGTATTAATACGTGTAATCTATGAAGAGGTTTCCTTGTGTTCTCGCATGGCTTTGGCTCGTCGTATATCATTCAAACGCAGAGCGACTGCATTTCGGTGGGCTTCAAGTCCTTCGACTTCCGCCAAAGTCATCACTGTATCTCCTAAGGCATCGAGCCCTTCAGCTGTAATGTTTTGAGATGTAATGTGTTTGACAAATGTATGGGTATTGACACCTAAGGGACGACACAAAAAGTCAGAATCACTAGATCCAATTACAATCATGGATGATATATAAAGTACGTACCAGAGTACATCCTTGCAAATCCATAAGTTGGAAGAGTGTGGTTTGTACCAGAAGCATAGTCACCACAACTAGAAAAATGGGTTGAGTTAGTATATGCCAAAAAAATCGACCGACCTGCCGGTGCATGTATGTTGAGAACAAACCAACCTCTCAGCCGACCATGGACCAACAAACACCGATCCAGCATTCTTGATCTGAGGCAAATAACTCTCAGCATCAGCAATCTGCATAATCAAGTGCTCTGGAGCATAAGAGTTTGAGAATTCCAAAGCTTCCTCCACTGAGCCGACGCATACAGTGAAACTGTTTCGTATAGCTTCACGAGTGATTGCTGCTCTTGGTAGAACTGCTCCTTGGGCAGCCACTTCCTTTTCTATAGCTGATAGTTGGAAGGATCCCAGAGCAACGGCAACCAATACGACTTGTGAATCGGTGCCGTGCTCGGCTTGTGAGAGCAAGTCTGATGCGACGTAGGCTGGGTTGGCACTTGAATCAGCAATGACCAATACTTCCGATGGACCAGCAGGCATGTCAATGGACAACAGTGCTGATGTGTCATTCTACGTGTGGAATGAGAGAAGTAAGAATCTAGATCTATTTTGCTCTGATTGTAATTCAAATACCATACTAATGGCATACCTGAATAAGCATCTTTGCAGAAGTAACATACTGATTTCCTGGCCCGCAGATTTTATCAACCTTGGGAATTGATGCTGTACCATAAGCCATACCAGCAACAGCCTGCGCACCTCCAGCAGTAACAACCATCGAAGCGCCGACTTTATGTGCTACATATAATACTTCAGGTACAATGGAGCCATCCTTTCGTGGTGGTGTAGCAATGACAATCTCAGAGCAACCAGCTACCATGGCAGGAATGCCCAACATGAGTGTACTGGATGGCAAGACTGCAGTTCCACCAGGCACATACAGTCCGACTTTTTCTATAGGGCGGACGAATCGAGAACAGACTACCCCTGGCATGGTTTCTACAGACAGGGTGGAATCTGACAGCTGGGCTTTATGGAATTTATATATGTTGTCAAAGGCCTGATCGATAGCCGCTTTGACCTTATCAGGCAAAACCATCATGGCTGGATCGAATGGTGCTTTGATGACGGGCGATTCGAGTTTTACTCCATCGAATTTCAATGTCCAGTCCAAGATGGCGGCATCTCCACGAGCCTTGACATCATCTACTATAGGCTTGACGCGGCCCATGACTTCTTCAGTTCGCATAATAGGGCGTGCAAACATGGTTGCTCGTTTGGCAGGTGGTATATCGGCAAGGACAAAGCTCTTTAGTTTAAAGTCCTTTTCGGTCGATGGCTTTTCACCACTTGGTTTTACTTTTGATGGGCCATCAGCTGCTGGTTTGACAGCTTCGCCTGCCTTTGCTGAGGATTCTACTTTAGGTTGATCAGCCTTGGCAGGAGCAGCACCTGTAGTAGTAGTGCCTGTGATATTATTTAATCCATTCAGTTTGGCAGCAACTGCAGCTTCCCATTTAGGTTTGCCATTTCCTGGACGTCTAGTAACCTTTTTAGCTTTGGCATCTAATTCCCTTTCGACATCAGCCAAGCTAACACCAGCAGCAGTACACTTCACAAGAGCAAAGTATATCAAGTCTGCAGCTTCAGCAGCAACCTCTTCAGGCGTAACTGCATCACACAACTCTTCAGCCTCCTCCATAATCTTTGATCTTAATAGCTTGCTGTCATCAAACAACCGTTTGGTATATGATCCTTCCGGAGCAGATATTTTACGACTCCTCATCAATGCATCTAGAGCTGTAATACCATGATCGGGGCCAAAGCATGTTCTAGTATTCAAGTGACAAAATCCAGGTTCTGTTTGATGGACGACAAAGCGGACGGTATCCTTGTCACAATCTGCATCAATCTTGTACAAGAGTTGCGTAGCGCCACTAGTGAGACCTTTATGCCACAGACCTCGACTTCGTGATTGATACACGCCCTGTCCGGTCTTGACAGCTTCGGCTATTGACGTGACAGACGAGTACGCCATACCCAGAGCAATACCATGTTCGTCGACTACGACTGTTGGGAAGAGACCATCTGACCTATCGGTGACGAGACAAGAAGCAAAAGCTTCACCTAAATCTAGATGACTTTGAGGAGCAAAGTTTGAATATGCTGTATATGGCAAGACTATATCGGCTTCAGACTTGTCCATGCGGGTGATGAGTGCAGCGATAATCTCACTGGCTGGAGTTGGTGTGATAGCTACATGGCGTCTCCTTCTATCACTTCGAGCAGCTAATACAACATTGCGTAAATGGGTATGTGTTTTCGTTGATGCTGATGTTGAAGTATTCCTGTCATCGGGAGAGACGGTGGTGACTGCTTTCTCGTTCATAGAAGACGGGATATTATTAAGCGTAATGATGTAGGCGGACGTATGCTGATTCAAGTATTCAGATATTAACGGGATGACTTCTTGACCTACTTCACCCCCATCCAGCCAGATAGCAACACGGTCTGACGGGATTTGAGATGCACTGATCGTATCCTGTATCCAGGCCTTGATGGCTGCATCGTTTGCTCCTTTATACTGAAAGACAATTCGAGAAGCTCCTCCGTCCAAGAGCTGTGATGCTGTTGATGATGTATCGCAATTGGCTGGCAAGACAACCCAGAAGCGAGCTAGTGGTAGTAATGGCAGCAGTAATGGAATGACTGATGCGTCTTCGGGTATCAAGAGCAAATCCGATACAATTGCTACTTTTCGGATGACATTCTTGAGAAAACTGATGTCCGAGTCCTTGGCGATTGTGATGCTAGTAAGGAGCATGTTCCAGTACTATCGAGCTTGAATTCCTGCTGCAATCCTTCTCCTATATCTTGCTTGTTTGTTTGTCGCAGGTTCTTTTTTTTTTCAAAGTTTCATCGTCGCGGAAATAACACACGCTCGAAAACGCCCGCACAAAAGAATTACACTATGCGATTCTTTATATACTATAAAGACTATAAATCGCTACATTTACTTGAAGATCTTGCCTAAAGACGTGAAGAAACAATAGTCAGCAACAAACAATATGGACGCAAGATGAAAATAAGATCTAAATCAAACGTACCATCAGCAAACTTTTTGCCTTCAATGACTGGATCCCAAGCAATGTAAGCGTTATATTGCTCACGGATGGTGGTATCATTGGGGTCGACTTTGGTCCATTCATAAGACTCGTAGTCAGCTGCTTCAGAGACTTCTGGTGGTACTTCTTGACCACGAAGAACAAAGAATCCTCGAATTTCGTTCTTGTTGTCTTCTCCAAGAATGACCAATGAGCCAAATGCGCTAAATAGGTAAGGTTAGACAATTGAGAGACAAAACAAATGGAGATGACATGCAGATCACAACCGACACGACAAACGTATTGTACCACTACCAGCACAAAAAACTTACTATTTTCGGGCTTGCTCCAGTCTTTGGAAGAAACCACCAATCAAGTTGGCAGACATAAAGGTCATGGTCAATTCATTGTTGTACTTGTAGACAACCCTCCACAATGAGTAGCCTTGAGCATCAAAGTTCTCCCAGAACCAGTTGACTGCGGTTGGTCTATCAGTACGAGTGCATATGGTTGAGAAAATGATGTATGAAAAAGTCAAAAAAACAGTAGCAAACTATCCATGTATCTCAACACAGCTATGTACACTATCGTGTCCTCACCTAGTTTCATTGTTGGAGTACATTCTCTTCCAGTTGTCCATGACCATGGTTGATGGAGGTAGTAGGTCAAGAGGGTTCTTGCCCTTTGGAGCTTCATCCTTGTAAGCAGCCATATCATCTTCTTCTTCGTCATCATCCTTTTTCTTTTTTGGCTTCTCTTCTTTTGGTTTTGGTTCTTCCTTCTTCTTTTCTTCCTTTTTGGCAGGAGTAGCAGCTGCAGCAGCTTTTGGTGCCTCTAGTGAAGATTTAAAGGTTGTGTTACTTTTGCGAGGACACAAGGGAAAAAAGTATGACATTACAATGGAGAAGAATCACTCACTGTCAGCGGTGGCAACGTGTTCAGCCAAAGCAACTTCACCAAGGACTGACTTGAAGTGAGGTTGGTGGACACACGTCACAAACCAACGAGTAACACTCTTGTATTCGCTTCGGAATGAAGGGTCGAATACCTAAAATCCGAGGGGAAATGTTTCAAGGTTAGCCTAAAAAGAGACCTTTCCCTAGAGTAATGGTTCCGACACAAATCATCGAGAGGCACATAACATACCATACGGTAGAAGCTCAATAAGGCAGTGACCATGGTAATGTCAGCCAAAGTGATTGACTCACCGACCAAGTAAGTGTTTTTCTTGAGGTGGCCATTCAAAGCAGCCATGACACGTTTGGTATCATCGATGGCCTTTTTGGTGTTTCCTTCATGAGCGGGAATCCAGCCCAATATGGGGAAGATCCATGTCGCTTGAGCAGGAGCGAGCTCGTTGTCGGCAACACCAATGAATTGCTGGATACGGGCAGCTTCGTGCTTGTCCTTGCCAAGTAGAGTGGTGTTTACATTCGATGCAGCGACTAGGAGTGTAGGTCAATGTAATTGAATTAGCATTTTTATATGTTGAAAGTAGTGTTGATGAGACTAGTTCCAAACACATCCAAATGCAAGACATTGAGGTGGAGGGAGTCAGGTTTCAAAGGTTTCTCAGCACGAGTATTACTAAGACAGGGATAACTATAATTTCTTACATTCATCATTTCCCTCCACCTCATTTGGATGCATACTGATGGAAATAAGCGATGACTGACGAAGAATACATACCATAGTAGGCGATGGCATTGCTCTCGTACAGAGTGAAACCATCAGGAGTTTCGAAAGCAGGGACCTTGCCCAATGGGAATTTTGACAAGAAATCAGCACTCTGCAATGTGGTGTGGGATGGAATGATGCGTAAGTGTCATTGAAAATTCCGTTTCTTTTTTTTTCATTCATGTCGAAAATGTAATGATGGATGCCGTACCTTGTTCGTGACGCCCATCTCGACATTGGCTTGTTCTACTTCCAAACCATTGTATTTAGCAGCAATCAACACTTTAGCACTAGAGATGAGAGTTGTTGATGAGCTTGGATTTTTTCAATTTTTTTTTTCAGAGCATCAGAATAAAAACAACGATGCTTGCCATTGAAGATATTGGGCGCTGATACTTACACTCGTGGATTGTTTGGATATGACCAGATTTTGCCAATGGGTGCCATCTTGTCGTATTACAATAGTTTCTGTTTGTATGCGATGTTATTGTAGCGAATGGAAAAAAGGTGAATGGAACGTGTGCTTCTCGACGACGCAACCGCAACAAAATAGAGCTAGAAGGAGGATTTTAGGGAGATTTTAGCGTGATTTACGTTTCGGGAATCCATATACAATCTCCAGCGTAACGACATACAGTAGTATCTTCCTTGCCTCAGGGCGCCCAATAGACTCATCCAAAGAAATTTGTACGAAATGGGAGCTACGACGGTACGAACTGTTTGATGAAGCGACGCTAGATTATTTCTTTTGGACTCATTTCTCTTTGATTTCATTTCTAGCTACAAGAAAGGCTCTTTGAGAAAACTCCATGCTGCAATCATTCACACAGACAGATTGAGGAGGATGAACCAGAAGAGGAGGAATACGAATCAAAGCATTCGTTATTCAAGGATAAAGAGCATCTTGAATCCTTCAATGCTGATGGCTCCAAAAAGGATTTGTGGGACATGTTTGTATGTTTCATCAAATTTCAACGTCCGACATCACACAATGTTGTATTCGGTACCAACCAATCTAACGTCAGCTATTTTTGCTTCAATAGATCACACCAGCATCAATCACAACGATGGAGACAAAGTTTGGTGTCATGCCCAACGTTGGTGAGTTCGCAACTTCGCAATGTCTTGCCGAATTGTTTTATATGCATCGCCATTTCCGAATTTGCATTACCAAATCTCACAACACCACCACCATAGCCGAATTCTACTGCACAATAACCTCCATCTTCTTCTGTGCCCCATTGCTGATCTACAACGATATACCATACGAACTAGTCCCACCCCTCCAACGAGCATGTATAGCACTCGCATGCATCACAGCAGTAGCCTCATTTGCCTACCACATGACAATATGGAAGGTCCTCTCATCAGCAGACTCGGGACTAGCTGTAGCAACCATGTTCCTAAACGCCCACTCACTAAACTCATCACTGGCACCACCGTCATCGTGGCTACACAATGATTTGAGCTGGCAGGTTCCTCTTACTGCAATCATCTTGCTGTTTATATGGCATTGGGAACGGACTGCTATATTGGCCGTGAAAATGATACTTGTTATCTTCCCGTGGTCTGTTTATGGATATATTAGAGGGGGTACGTACAGTTAGGCCGCTCGATTATAGATCGAGCAGAGCATATTATTACAACAAAACATATCTAAAATTCATTTTGAATTGGTCCATCCTAGGAGCCTGGACTGGCATGATATTAGGAGTTGCCGGGTTGGCTTGCTTTGCTGTAGATCGTAAAGGCTGGTTTCCTGGACACACGTGGTGGCATATTGGAGGCGGGCTCTCGCTGTACTATGCAATTCATGCCGCCACTCAAAAGACATTGTTGACATACACGTAGAATGAACTTGAAGGGACTTCTTGTCATAGAATATGTGGTCCATTTAGAATTATTACTCATATCTTATATACGTAGTTTCCTTTACATAGACAAGAAAATCATAAACACGTATTGCGGGAATTGCTGCGTCTCGCATTATATTGATAGGATATCATAAACACATTCTGCCTAACTGCACTCCGGCATTTATCGTAGGAAACATATCTTCACCCGTCTTCCTTGATGTTTCTATGTTGACCTTGTGTTTTTCTGAAATCTTGATCTCTTGTTTCCCAGCTTGACAGAACCGTAATCTAACACCGCTCGCTTCAAGCATCTCTTCAGTAAATGAATCCAAGAGAGTATCCACCAGAAAACCTCACTCAACCGCATACAGACAACGAAGCTTTCGACACCTCCTCCGACACAGAATCCGCAACAGACGCAAACCACCAAACGAAACCCAAAAAGGACATAACACCACTCAACGCAGTCTTCCTATGTCCACTGGAATGCTCTGGAACTCAGGCCATCACCGATTTAGAGACTGCTACGCAACATTTACGAGAAGAGCATGCTTTGATTATTGACAATGTGGATCAGGTTGTGCATTTCTTTAATGCGTATGTCGTGGATGTTGCGAGACGGATTCAGGATAAGAGTGTGAAGCTGGTTGTGTCTGGTGGGAGGAATGGGGGTGGACAGTCGTTGAGGATTGTTGGATCAGCTGCAGATGCACGGGATGCTGAGCTGAGGTATGTTGGAGGAAGAACTTTGATTTTGTTATTGAAGTGTGCAGTCGCGTGTGCGGGCTTGACGTTGGCAAACTGCAGTCTTATTAACTTGGCGGACGTTTTTTGTCTCTTTGACAGAACACGTCTGAAAGCTTCCATCCTTGAAGAGGTACTCCGAGTCCAACAAGATGAACGTGAGCGCGACACGAAGCGAAAATGTCTCTTTTGTCGTGTCGTGCCTGATAATCGGTGAGCATTGTCGACAAAAGAGAAACCTAGAATAACTCGAAATCTTATTCCTAAACTCTCCGACTTTCTTAGCACATCACTCCTGGAACACATGTGGCACCAACACAATCTCAATATCGGAGTCGCAGACAATATCGTTTATTTTGACGAGTTCCTGAATATCTTGGAGGGGAAGCTTACATCGTGAGTATCACAATTCAACAATCGCGTCAGTGTAGAGCCGACACAAGCAATTACTCGAACTGGCTTGTCTTTTTGCTTTAGCCTTCAATGCCTATACTGTGAAAAAACCTTCAAAGGCCAGACAGTACTTCGTCTCCACATGAGGAAAAAGAAGCATTTCAAGCTACGACCTTGTTGTGAATATGATCGGTTTTATATTGTTAATTATACAGAGAGTAGATGGGGGCAGGAGAATGGTGGTGGTGCTGACGAAGACGACGAGTATTGGAATATCTCTACATGCCCTTTTTGTACCTTTTAGCATTAACGCATTCATTTTGTGTAGGAACTGGGACGACTGGAATGAACCAGAATCGCTACAAACCATGTGTTTATTCTGTGAACATGTCGAGGACACGCCGTTATTGCTTTGTCAACATTTGCTGGCGAGGCATGGATTTGATTTGTTGGAGCATCGTAAGAGTAAGTGGTGCGGCTTGTTCCTTGTAATTAAGAAATTTTTGTTGAAGAAATCGCCGATGAAAGAGCTTGCTGTTGGAAATCCCTGCGATTTCGTCTTTCAATTGTGCTTTTTTCGCCTCATCTCCTCCTTGTAATTAGAACTGGACGTATATCAGAACTTGTCATTAGTCAACTACCTCCGCAAACAATTCATCATACTGAAGTGCTTCTCGTGTCTTCAACCCTTCCAAAGTGTGGATGATCTCGAGAAGCATTTGGACGATGAGAAGCATACAGTACCACTTCCGCCACATTCATTATACAGCGACGCACAGAACTTTTTCCCAACTGTCGACGGCGACCCGCTACTAATGTTTTTGGGTGAAGGGGAGAATGAACATGCAGATGAAGATAACACGACTGATGATACACACGTACTGGCTGAACCTGTACATAAAGTCCCAGATTTACGAAATATGTCAATAGAAGAACGTCTAGATTGGATTTCTACTCGATGAATCTAATTTTTTTAATAGAAAGAATTCTTGGCCAATTTGTTTAATAATCTTTCTTGATACGTTTGATCTTGTAATTACAGCACCACATCTTCCGCGTTTTGAAATTACTCTATAAACCCCCACTACTCTTGCCCACGGCTTCTGTAGACATCACTATGCCTGGTGGTTGAAATGCGAGTATTAGCTGCAGCAACTGGAATCATTTGTGCAAAAACAAGGACGGAGTATGGTGTTGTTTCGACGGTAATTACCTCTTTCCTTACACCAGCTAACACCAGCCTTGTAAAAGTTAGGGAAACAGCTGGTCTTCAACTAGATATGAATAACGTAGTCAGATCCAAGAGGTATACGTGATTGACACTGCAAAGAAGGAAAACATGGCAGAAGAGGACTTACCAACTCATACACCTTTTCCTGAACCGGTCGAAGGACGTCTGGGTCTATATTGATGTTTGTTAGAGTCACATGTATGAAGCAGAAAAAGAGACATCCAGACCCGTTAATAACTCTCAGCAATGAATCTACACCACCACCCACTCCCACACTTACGATAATTCTTCCTATCTATGGCCTCCCGTATAACCTGCTTCCTCATCCTCCCCGTGATGTTCAGCTCCTTGTCCGCACCAGCATTGATATACAACTTGATTATTCTCTCCATTTCCATTCGGAGCGGTTCCTTGGCGGGCTCTTCTGATGCAGCCACGGTACTACCACCAGCTTCGGCCAGAGTCGGATTCGAGGACAGGGTTATGGATGATTTGACGGACGATTGGGATTTTGATCTCCACCGGTTGCCGAAACCGACTGGGAGAGGGACGGGGTACATTGTGGCGGCCATGTGTCGATCTGTAGAGGTAGGTTTGGTGGTGAGTTTTTGGGGGAAAAGGGTGGGTTGTCACGTTCCTTACACTTTTGCAAGTCCATCCAGAATTCCAGCTAGTAGAGTGATATCAAAGGTTGTTTAGAGTTTATGTATGTAAACAGGCACCATTGCCGAATGATGAATAAAACATTAGCAAACAACCCCCGCCTTCCGGTATGTGATTCAACAACAAATCGAAAACACCCCAACATCCTCGGAAGACATACATTTTCCTCGCAATGTTCGCGTTTAAGCCATTCTCCGAATTCCGATAACGTGAATGGCTTGGGAGTCAGGTCTTCCAAAACGCTAGCTAAATTCACGTTTGAAGTGACGAGGACCGACTCGTGTATACTTGGTGATTTAGCAGCCATAGCTGCGCTCAACATTGGCATTTTTCGTAAATGGATTTTTCTGGTTTCCTCCTTCGAAACACACGAAAAACTGTGAATTTTTTGAGTTTGCGAATAATGGCCTTTTTCGAAACAGTTTTGTGATTGGGGTGAAACCTTCCAACCCTTGTTCAAAAACCCCTGGGAACAAGTTTGCTTGGAACCAGAGGTTGTGTTGTATGATGTGGGTTCAGAGTTTTTCATGTTGGGAGAGAGAGCGAGAGCAAATCATATCTGTACAATGTGTAAAAAGATTCGGCCAAAGTTATGTCAAAAATAGGTATCCTCGATCGGTTCGATAAAAAATGCGACGTATCCAAGAATGGTGGAGTAGACCAATAAACCGCCGATAAAAGATAGTATCATGGCTGCCTGGTTTATCTATGTCGGATGCGGTGTTTGAGAGGGTATGCGGAACTAGTGTGATTGGATGTAGTACCTTTTCAGCGTGAGCTAGGACGATTGGCAGAGCGGAGCCCGATATAATAAAGAATGAAGTTACGAAATATCCAGCTTCCAAGACCCCCCTGCAATAAGCGACAGTTAATAACAGATGGTAGTTGGTGTTGAGCAGGGCGTACCTCGAGTCACCAGATAACCCATCAGAGCCGGCAATTCTCTTTGCGACGATATTAGGGATTGGTGCAAGTAAGAAGCACAATATGACAGTTAACGGTAAAAAGTTTGCGTAGAGTGCGCAAGACAGAATAACTAATAATATTCCTGTGGCAAGTATGAAGGCCAGTGATATGATCCTGCGAGAAGAGATTTATCAGTAAGCAAATATGCGGCTTGTACATGTTGATGGAGGGTTAGGTAGTTTAGGTTGTCAAATTATCACCACTTGATGCATGCTGGTCATCAATGTTGAGAACTTACGCTATGATGTGGATTATGAGTGTCAGCAGAAAGGAATACGGTCAAGCGATTGGTACATACAATTATGTTGACTTACTCTTCATTCCGGGCATATTGGCGCACTGTGACTGCAAAATCAAACGAGATGATCTAACGCAACTTGCAGATTTCAGTCATATAAAGTCAAAAGTACGCATTTGGTACGCGTCATTGGATTACTAGCTGTATAAAATCGCGTGGACAATCAATGAATATCACTCGTAATGCCTGTGCTTTTAATCTTGAGACTCCTTCGTTCCTTTTTGAACATTGGCCAACTAGGAAAGGAGCAGTTCTAGAACGAGTCTTGTAGCACCAGATTAGATTAGACTCATTGTATTTATCAAGTAGCTACTAGCAAAGTCGTCGAAATGGCTGCAGCTCCCAAATTCTTCCAAACGAACAAGAAGGGTATGTGAGAGATGATTGTATTGTGGCGAAGGAATGTCTTGTTGGGAGTGATTGAAATATTTATGGGACTGCGATGAGGTTGTATTGTTTGTCGTATCTGGTCATGTCAATGCGCCATCAAAATCACACATTTCATCGTATTGACCAGACCAATCCAAACATACCATGTCTTCAACCAATTTCATTGCCAATTCTCAACCCACGTGCATTTTACATGCAAATCTTTATTCCTTACTAACTATCGACACTCTGACATCCCACCCAACACGTCACTCTAGGCGAGAACTTTGAACTAAAGGCAGACCTCAACTCGGAATACAAGGAAAAGCGTAAAGAAACTGTCAAAAAAGTCATTGCAAACATGACCGTCGGAAAGGACGTATCCTCTCTCTTTGCTGACGTTGTGAAAAACATGCAGACTGAAGATTTGGAATTGAAGAAACTCGTATATCTCTACCTAATCAACTATGCGAAATCCCAGCCTGAACTCGTCATCCTCGCCGTAAACACGTTTGTAAAGGACTCGGATGATCCAAATCCATTGATTCGGGCTTTGGCGATTAGGACTATGGGGTGTCTACGTGCTGAAAAGATTATTGCGTATCTCATGGGGCCGTTGCAGAAAGCTCTTAGAGTAAGCATGAATGAATTGTTTCGGATTGGATTATGAAGAGATTGCATTTATTGAGACATCATGCTGGATGCCGATCATATGCCACATCATTGCAACATGACTCAAGAGCGTGCTTTTTTTTCTCTATCATAGGATGATGATCCATACGTTCGAAAGACAGCTGCCATCTGTGTTGCAAAATTATTCGATATTTCACCAAACACCGCCATCGACAACGGCCTGATTACGAACTTGCAAGAAATGCTATCAGATAGAAATCCAATGGTAGGATATAATTGATAGTCTTGGAAAGATTTTGTATTGTTCTGAAGTCAGTCTTTTTTCGCATATAGGTCATTGCAAATGCTGTCGCTGCTCTGGCCGAAATCAGTGAATCCTCTGTTAGAAAGGACATTTTCACAATCACCTCTTCCATATTGACGAAATTGTTGGCTGCTCTCAATGAATGCACAGAGTATGTGTCGATATCTTCCTCTTCTTTTTTGCTCTTACTATATAGAGAGCATTGAAAAAGATGGCGACGTGAATACGACTTGCATCAGTCTGTTTACTCACTTCGAGCTCGGCCTCTATTTTAGATGGGGTCAAATCTGCATTCTTACCTCACTTGCGAGTTACAAACCAAGTGATGGAAAAGAAGCTGCAGAAATTGTCGAGCGTGTACTGGCTAGATTACAACACGCTAATGCTAGTGTAGTCTTATGTGCTGTCAAGGTTGGTATAATTGGCAATTAAAACTTTGGCTTATTTTTTTCGCTGACTGCTTTGAGACCCTTTTTTAGGTCTTGGTTGTATACATGAGTGACATTTCAGACGATTTACAGAAGCAAGTGGTCAAAAAGATGGCTCCTCCATTAGGTCAGCAATAAACGACATTATTCGACAGTCACCTTTGGATGTCAAAGTTTGTTCACACATTTACTCCGCTAACACTCGATTTTTTCTAGTCACTCTCCTCTCTGCTGAACCTGAACTCCAATACGTGGCACTACGAAACATCAACCTCATTCTCCAAAAACGACCAGACGTCCTCTCACAGGAAATGAGAGTCTTCTTCACAAAATACAATGATCCACCATACGTCAAACTCGAAAAACTAGAGGTTATCATCAAACTGGCCACTGATGTCAACATTGATCAAGTCTTGTCAGAATTGAGAGAATATGCTAACGAAGTCGATGTCGATTTTGTGCGTAAATCTGTGCGTGCTATTGGAAGATGTGCCATCAAGATTGATTCTGCTTCAGAACGATGTGTGAATGTCTTGTTGGAATTGATCAAGACAAAGGTTAATTATGTCGTTCAGGAGGCTATTATTGTCATGAAGGTAAAATGCCAAAAAAGCCTCGATACGTGTCGGAGCAGGGGCTGCTTTGCAACATTAGCAATTTAACGTCTTCATGCATCCCTCCCCATTCTGAATACATCCCGTATTCTTAGGATGTTTTCCGAAAGTATCCACACAAGTATGAAGGTATCATACCGTCTCTCTGTGAGAACTTGGATTCTCTCGATGAACCAGAAGCCAAAGCATCGTTGATCTGGATTATTGGAGAATATGCTGAAAGGATTGAGAATGCTGACGAGTTGTTGGAAGGATTTTTGGAAAATTTCAAGGAAGAGAATGCTACAGTAAGCACTTCGTTTTCAAACTTCATACAGCAACAAAAAAAAGCTCCGACGGAGTCCAAATCCAAGCTCTTGTGAGCATCGTGGACTCAATTATTTTTTGGACTGGACTCAATTCGCATTTTGACTTGTTGAAAATTCTAGGTGCAACTACAATTATTGACAGCCGCTGTCAAACTCTTTTTGAGAAAGCCAGCTATGGCTCAAGACATGGTACACAAGGTTTTGCAAACTGCGACACAGTCTGTCGATAATCCAGATATCCGGGATCGTGCATTTGTGTATTGGCGTTTGTTGTCTACTAGTCCTCAAGCAGCCAAGGTGAATATCTTTGAGTGCAAATCAATTCTTTACGATATTTATTCTGATTTTTTTGTCGGCGATTTGTTCCATCCTAACCAAAACAAATTGAAATTTAGGCTGTCGTTATATCAGAAAAACCACCTATAGAAGCAGATACCACTGTCAGTGAAACTTTGTTGGACGACCTCATCATCAATATCGCGACACTGGCCTCTGTATACCACAAGCCCTCATCCCAATTTGGTGGTACTTCAATTCAGATTCAGACCGTTCGTGAGGAGTAAGTGTCGATGGAAAATTAAGACAGGTGTTGGGGGTTGCGTTTGACGCATCTTTTGATTTCAACTGCTTTTTTGCTTGTGTGGTCCACTCACATAATCTCTATCATCTATATAGTGATGTAGAAGAAGGAGGAGACGATCTAGTCTCACCAGATGAGCTAGGCGCTATCAGTGGAGTCGCAACATCATCCAAGAAGACCACCATTGGAGATTTATTAGACTTGGACTTTGGCAGTGAACAACCTGCATCTCCAGTAGTCAACAATAATATTTCACCACAAGGAATGATGGGAATGATGTCATCACCACCCAGCCACAACATGTCGGCTCCACCACCACAGCAACAACAACAATCTAAAGGTGGTTTAGATGATTTATTGGGTCTAGATTCAGGACCATCCATGATGCCATCAATGGGTGGAATGCAGAGTCTTGGTGGTGGTATGCAAGGTCTGTCTATCAATCCAACTAGCAATAAACTATCGCCTGCTTCTGGTGGTGGTATGGCCATGTTTGGATCAAGTCCACCGTTTGGAGGAGCCAATTTGATGGGATCGTCGGTAGCATCACCAGCTGCTGCTGTTACGCAGCCATTCGTGCCACCCAAAGTACCACTATTGACTGCTGCTACAGCTCAGGGGTTGGATTTAAGTGGTGCTTTTGTCAGACGGTGAGTTGTGAAATAACATTTGGATGTCTGCTTTTTTTTGTTTAGTGATGCATCGCTGATACTAAATTTTCGTGAAGTAATGGTGTACCATATATGGATTTGAGCTTTGCAAACCGTTCTCCAACTCCATTATTTGATTTCGCTATTCAATTCAATGTCAACTCGTGAGTATACTTTGCTCTTCTGTTTAAGAGCTATTGCGAAAAAAAGATCAATCTCTTACATAGTCCTTTAATAGGTTTGCATTGACGAACGCTGCTCCGCTGGTAGTACCAACCATATCACCCAATGGTGTCGCAGAAGTCAGTCTGGCATTGAGTGCAACTGGCAATGTGCAAAAAATGGAACCCGTGAATTTGCTTCAGGTCGCCATCAAGGATAATCTAGGAGTGTTTTACTTTAACGCCATGGTTCCCTTGTATGCGCTATTTGGAGAGGATGGTGCATCTGTTGATACGAATGCGTTCAGTAGTCAGTGGGCTGATGTGACTGTGCCATCAAGCAGTTTCGCACTTGGTGGATTTGCGATATCTGATGTTGCCAACAAGTTGAGACGAGGGAATATTTTCGTAGTTGGGCCTCCTAGTCCTTCAGTGAGCGACCGTCTACACTCACTGTTTCTGTTCTTGCTGTTTTTTTCTGCTTGTGCTGACATGTGCTTGGATTTTCGCGACACCATGTTTTGACCAATCACTTTTCTTTTGTCTAGATCTTCAGAGCAGTTGCCAAATTATCTAACGGTGCACTAGTAGTGGCCGAGATGACGATGCAACCAACAGCCTTATCTGTAACTGCGAAATCACGTGCTCCTGAATTGTTGCCCCTCTTCCAGCAGACGTTGGACGTGATTTTGCGCTGATCTTTGAGGTATCATTAGCTTGTATATACACTAGTAGTTTTAGAAACGCAACAATTGATGGATTTTATGCTGATTTTGGTACATTTATGCGTATGGTTTTTTGGGTGGAGACTTGGGATCTATCACATGTTTTCTTTTCTGCACCCCACTCACACACAACACTGGAACGACCAAGAAAGAGCGTGAATCGTACATATCCATACTACTAGTAAGTGCTCGTGTGCCGGAACTGTTTGTCGTTGTTATGCTTGCCTCTCAAACGAACTCGCTACAACACACCAGTCAGTTGACTTATTCTGCATTGCCGTTTTCTTAGATAACAAATACCAAGTCCGATACCTAAATAAGCAATAATGTCTTCGGCTGCCGTTATAATGGGAACGTCTATCATGGTCGGCGTAGCAGCGCTGCAAAACCAGAGCCGCAGAAACAGCGTCTCCAACTCATCTGACAACACGTCCCCCTCAACTACTCCCGCTTCTGGTAGTCCTCCTGGCACTCCCTACGTGAGACGACCGTCATTTAGCACCACATCTGACACCTATCATTTGGTATGCCTTATTCATGCATTTAGATCACCGAAACTGTTTTGTGCTCAAATGCTGACATATGCCATTTTATTCAGGACAAGAAATGGTCACACTCCATGTCCAAGAAGTAGATACAAGCTATCCTGTCTATAAATTAGTCGAATCAAAATCCAGTTTTGTGCCTTTTTGCAACAAGCTCTTCCCTTGCTCTAAAACCCAACAAAACACCAAAAAATAAATCATGTAGTTTTACCTTTTTTTTGTATAGTGCTAGTTTCCAAACAATCATTAAAATGAATCGATATTTGTATATGTTGTTTGAGCACGGTTAGCCAGCTGGTATCGTGACGTGTCTGCATCCGCCAAACTTCCATTTTCGAAACAACGTGTGAGAAAGTAAAGGGGAGTAAGAGACAATTTTACCTTCCAAAGATGTCATTTGGAGACTTCGATGGTCGATCCGCAGCTGCGAGTTCAGCAAATCCAAGGCAATTTACGTTTAATTTGAATGAACGAGGAGGAGGAAACAATCCGTCTGCAACTGGACTTCGTGACTTTGGTACATATAATACACAGTCGCCTCTCGATATCGGCATGTAAATTACATATTAACACACTCTCTCCCTTACTCCTTATAGGTAAAATTCCACTTCTATTCAACAAACATCAACACTTTTGAAACCGCAAATGCTTTGAACGTTTTCCTTTCAACAAAGCTGACGAAGAAAACTATGCATTTACATAGAGCCAGATCCACGAAACATTGATCGAACATCCCATGTCGTATTTCAGATATCAAACAATGTGGCATCTATTCAAAAGTTGGCTGGTTTGCTTGGTGGAAGTAGGGATACGCCTGATTTGCGTCAGAAATTGTAAGTTGGTGGACTTTTTACGATCAGAGCTGTTGATTCTATTGCCGCTGTACTTTGTTTATGTTTTGTTCATTCCACAAACATTCATTGACGATGTTTATGATTTAGACATGGATTGGTGGAGGATACTCGAGATATGGTGAAGCAGACAAGCCAAGATCTGAAAGTCATGGTTGGAAGTGAAGATGCCAATTCGTTTGAGGGAGTACGTAACTATGTGTTGTAGTCACATTTACAATGAGCTATTTTTGTTCATGTCTCTTGTTAAGCCTCAAACACTCATATACTGACTCTACTCTTTGCTATCCAGAGGAATCGCAAAATGGCACAACAGAAACTCCAACGCGACTTTGAACAAGTGTTGGGACGCTTCCAATCTGTATCCAAATTCGTGGCTGAAAAGTCGAGAGAGTTTGTTGCGAGGGCTAAGGCTGCTCATGATCGAGGCATGATGTATGTGTGGTTTTGTAATCTTGAACGTGTGTTGCTTCCCTTTTTCTGTGGTTTTTTTTCGCAGCATCATGTAATCTCACCACACCAACCCTTTATTAGTGATCCATTCAAGGAAGACGAAGATTTGACGGAAGATGCGCCGTTACTGGGAACCAGCCAAACACAGAAACTCAAACAAATTCGAGCACTAGATAACGAAGTCGAGTATAGTGAGGCCTTGATTGCAGAACGAGAAGTTGAGGTGCAAGAGATTGAAAGATCGATTGCTGAAGTGAATGAAATATTTCGGGATTTGGGGACACTTGTTCATGAGCAGGGTTATATGCTTGGTGAGTTTGGTTGTCGGATGGATGAGGGAAAAAAATCGCCTCTATTAATAAATCTAACCTTTCTTATCTCTCACTCTTAGACAATATTGAATCGAATGTATCAGCAACCGCCATCAACATGGAGAATGCCACTGGAGAACTGAGGACGGCATCCAAGTATCAGAAGAATGCTCGAGCTAGGATGTGTTGTTTGATGCTTATTGTTGCTATTGTGATTGCTGTGGTGGTGGTGGTGCTGGTGTCTTGATGCTGTGGGGACTGGTGGGAAGGGACTAGCTATAATTCCTTGTTGTGTTTGTGTGTATAGAACCATGTGAGATTGTTTCTGCTACAAGATTGAACATATTATATTTGATGAGATGAAAATACTAGAAGGTTGCCAATTTATATGTACAAGAGTGTTGTTGTTAGGGGTTGTGGGTATCATTTCTTGAGTTTGTTGAAGGCTTGCCGTAATTCATCTGCATAGGCTCTCAGGAACTGTTTAGAGATAAGAGCGAAGGTTAGAAAATCGAAGTCAACGGGCTAAGTGGCTGATAGCCTTCAAGATACATACCATTTCAGCACGATGCCCATGTTTTCCCAACTGATCGACCGACTTTTCAGTGATGTGGTCGGTGAGCTCCAATCGTTTCTTTGCCAATTCAGATACCTTGTCATGAGTGCTAGCAGCAAAACGCTGAAAGTACGGGTTGTTTGCCAGCTAGTGTAGTAATGTAAAAAGTTGTAAATGTTGGGTGAGAAAGGTTGTTCAATTTGTGGATGTCTGAGGGCTGAAAGAGAGATCAAACGCATTTGAATGGGAGATACGATTGATATCGAGCCTTTACAATATGACAAATGGGAAGAAACAGTGTGTTCCAGAGCTCAGAAATCAGGAAAGATAGTATGACAATGGAAGTGAGGGTGAGATATATGGGCTTACCGTTTCTATGATGTGCTTTTGTACGGCCTGGTTGACGATTCGGTTTATCATTATTGGGCGTCTCCACTGAGCTGAAAAAGTGTGTATGAAGATGTGAAGATGGGACGTGTCAGACTTGAAACATGAAGAATTGAGCAGATCAATAAGCCGATACGTTCCATTACTTATTGAAAGGAATGGCTTGTAGTTTTGGACAGCGATTGCTTGGACCTCTGGGTGGACGAAATTCACATTATTGGCAATCACGTAACAGTATCATTAGAGACTTGACTAAAATGCTGTCTTGTATTTTAGTACGCGTAGCTATACGTTAATTATACTTGGATTTCTCCTCTTGGATCATGTCTGTTTGTTGCTCATGAAGCTCATCGAACCTCGTCGAACATCTTGACAGTTTTCTTTCGTCAAACCACTTCGTCTCCTCCTCGCTTCATTCAAACTCTTGACGCTTACTCCAAGCAACTAGAGAGAGAAAAACATCGTATAACAGGTAAATATCACTTCCATTGTCTAATTCCTGCAGCTTCTTGCTTTTTTCACAAAGCTTTGCTTATTCAAATGCACCAACAAAAAAAAGTTGAAAAATCGAGAGCTAACATTTCCTACCCAATTATATCTAATAGGAAACTCCACACTAGCATATAAAAAACAGATATAAAATCATGTCGGAAAGTGAATCTTTTGCCTTCCAGGCTGAGATTTCTCAGGTAAATTGCAAGACTCAGACCCTCAAAACATTTTGATGTTTTTGGGGAATGGTGCAGGCTGTACGCTTCAAAACAACAGATCTGTCATTGATTATAATTCCATATTATATTGGAATCATAAATCTTGGAAGCGAGTGGCTCGATGCTTGAAAGAAAGGGATGGAACATGTGGCAAAGAAGTTCTGCGAGCTGCAGTCCTGCTGTGACTACTGAACCAGCTCAATGCAGACGAATATTGCAAATATGCTGTTAATAGTGTCCTTTATCAGTTCGTGCTCCTGCAACCACTATACTCACCAGATTCATTATCTAGCTCATGTCGTTGATCATCAACACATTCTACAGGTGAGTTACGCTTCCATCCATCCAACATCACAACCCATCATTCATTCATGTAATATAACTAATCAATTCAAAATCCAAATAGTAACAAGGAAATCTTCTTACGTGAATTGATCTCCAACGCCAGTGATGCTCTGGACAAGATCCGTTACAAGTCTCTCACTGATCCAAGTGAATTGGACTCTGAACGAGAATTATATATTCGAATCACACCTGACAAGGAAAACAAGATTCTCAACATTCGTGATACTGGTGAGTTACATGAAGGACTTTATCGGTCTGTTTTTTGCTCGTGTCTCGGTCGAGTACTAGTTTGTCGAACACGAGCAATAATTCGTTCTCAACCACATAATCACTTACAAATACCCATTCCTCCTACTAGGTATCGGTATGACCAAGGCCGACTTGGTAAACAACTTGGGTACCATTGCCAAATCCGGAACAAAGGCCTTCATGGAAGCCCTATCTTCCGGTGCCGATATTTCCATGATTGGTCAATTCGGTGTCGGTTTCTACTCGGCCTACCTCGTTGCTGACAAGGTCCAAGTTATCACCAAGCACAATGACGACGAACAATACATTTGGGAATCTGCTGCCGGTGGTACCTTCACCATCACCCGTGACACCATCAACGAACCTATTGGTCGTGGATCTGTCATGCGTCTCTACATGAAGGATGACCAGCTTGAATACTTGGAAGAGAAGAAGATCAAGGAAATTGTTAAGCGTCACTCTGAATTCATTGGGTACCCAATTCAGTTGGAGGTTACCAAGGAGGTAAATGCAGCAGTTTTGTACAAGGGCTTTGTTGCGCGCCTTAGATTTTGTGACCCAAATATTATTGTTGCCCATCTTCAGTCATGTCCTTATTCAGAGACTAATCTGTATTTACCATCTTTAGGTTGAAAAGGAAGTCGAAGAAACTGAAGAAGAAAAAGCTGAAGATGAAGAATCCAAGCCAAAGATTGAAGAAGTCGATGAAGATGCCGACAAGAAAAAGACCAAGAAGGTCAAGGAAATGAAGAAGGAAACTGAAGAGCTCAACAAGGCAAGTTTCGTTGCGTTTATCCTCCTTCTATGACTCTTTGCCACTGCCCTGGTTCGCACTACATGAACTCATACGTTGCATCATCTAAATCTCATATGATCTACACATTAGACCAAACCAATCTGGACTCGTAATCCAGATGACATCACCGCCGACGAATATGGTGCATTCTACAAGGCTTTGACCAACGATTGGGAAGAGCATCTGGCAGTCAAGCACTTCTCTGTCGAAGGTCAACTCGAATTCAGAGCCATTTTGTATGTCCCTAAACGTGCTCCATTCGATCTCTTCGAACAAAAGAAGAAACGAAACAACATTAAACTATATGTCCGTCGTGTATTCATTATGGATGACTGTGATGAGTTGATTCCTGAATGGCTCAACTTTGTCAAGGTATGGTCTGGCTCTACCTGCAGTTTTTTTTGTCGTGATCGATATTCATGGCAGCCTTTATTCACGCATTGCATTTTCTATCTCAACAGGGTTTGGTCGACTCTGAAGACTTGCCATTGAACATTTCTCGTGAAATGCTTCAACAAAACAAGATTCTCAAAGTCATTAGAAAGAATCTTGTGAAGAAATGTATTGAAATGTTTACCGAAATCGCTGAAGACAAGGAGAACTTTGCCAAGTTCTACGAGTCCTTTGCCAAGAACTTGAAGCTCGGTGTCCACGAAGACGCCACCAACCGTAACAAGTTGGCTGATTTATTACGTTACCACTCAACCAAATCTGGTGATGAAGCTACTTCCTTGAAGGACTACATTACTCGTATGAGCGAGAAGCAACAATTCATCTAGTAAGTTGGGATGTCTGTTGACGTTGTTGTTTGTATTGTTTGGTTGTGGGGATACATCACAAAATATTGACATTGACCTCTGTTTAGCTACATTACTGGTGAATCCAAGGCTGCTGTTGAGAACTCTCCATTCCTCGAAGTCTTGAAAAAGAAGGGCTACGAAGTTTTGTACATGGTCGACCCCATTGATGGTGAGTTTTGTATCGTGTAGCGCAATGACTTGAGTCTATGACTATGTTGCGATGGAAGGAAGGGCTTGGTTCTCTTGCGTTTGTCTTACTGACAGTTTGCCTCATACAATCCGTTAGAATACGCCATCCAACAATTGAAAGAATACGACGGCAAGAAGTTGATGAGTGCTACCAAGGAAGGATTGGAAATGGAAGAAGATGAAGAGGAAAAGAAAACATTCGAAGAACTCAAGGTAAAAAATCAATATGTTTGATCACGCTCAGGAAACCGTCAAAGCGCTATCTCACACCATACCCATATTACTCCAAAAGTCTACATACGAGCCTCTATGCAAACAAATCAAGGAATTGTTGGGTGATCGAGTAGAAAAGGTAGTCATCTCCAACAGAATTGCCAACTCACCATGTGTCTTGGTAACTGGTCAATATGGATGGTCTGCCAACATGGAGCGTATCATGAAAGCCCAAGCCCTCCGCGATTCATCCATGTCCAACTACATGGCCTCGAAAAAGACTCTTGAAATCAACCCTACCAATGCCATCATCAAGTCGTTGCGAACAAAGGTTGAACACGACAAGAATGACAAGACAGTCAAGGATTTGACCTACTTGTTGTTTGAAACTGCTCTCTTGTCATCTGGATTTACTCTTGATGATCCATCTGGCTTCTCGTCTCGTATCCACCGAATGATCAAGTTGGGTCTCAGTATTGAAGATGATGGTGAAGAAGAGGCTGCCATGGAAACTGATGACTTGCCACCTCTTGAAGAGGCTACTGCTGAATCAAAGATGGAAGAAGGTTCGTAGCTGAGAGAAGATGATTGTGACGGAATGTCATTGATGTGTACTAATATTTTTTTTGTTCCAATTAGTCGATTAAACGAGATCCTCAATATATTGGCATCGCAACCATAGAACTGTAAAAAAATAAAAAAGTTTACTGCACAAGTTAATAATATGGTTCTTAGTGTTTTGTTGCTTACACCTGTCGCGAATTTCAACATATGGAAGAGGGTTTAAACAGTCCTGCTGGCAGTCCTGGGTTCCTGAAAGGCTTCGATTGTTCCAAGCTTGCCAGCACCGTGAAGGACCTCAGTATGGCCTTACTACGCTCGAACATGCGGAAAGAAATATTGTCCCGATCAATCGTCATAGAATATTCACCAGCTTGGATGCATTTAGTGGTTCACAATTGGCCGTCCAAGTTTCGATCCGTTGGCCCTTATATCCAGGGACCCTTGATATCACGAAGCTTTTCAAAATCAAAGTCAGTAGCAAGCTGGTTCTTCTCAGCACAACCGTCTTTTCAACGAAAACTGTTCACCTCATTAGCTACTATCGTACATCAAATATGACATTTGATTGAATACAATGGGACTCATGTTATCAAATGGTCTTGTCACCGTGGTTTGTTTCTCTGTATTTCTGATTGCGGCAACTTGAAAGTCTAAATAAGTTTGTTTCAGTTTGACGGCGGGCTCCAATAACAAGTTAGAACCCGATTTAAGAGGACTCATATTGCCATTGAATGTAAAACTTCGTGATTCTTTTGCCAGCTGCTAACGCAAGTCAAGATTTTGAATGGTGGGTATCTACATCAGACCTAGATAGATGGATTTTGTTGGGTTTTGTATTCGCGTCCCACTCTGTTAACGACGCGTCTTACGAATATCAGCCACGTGCCAAATGAGGTGAGAATATGGAAGATACCGTTCTTTTCGAAGATCTTAGTCCTCCTCCATTCGCGACACAAGTTGTTGAGCTGGCTGCTTTACACGTGCAAGTCACGAAGCTGCTGGTCCAAGGAAACAATCAAACAAGGTTTTGGCACAGTATCTTTTGTGCTCTTGCTCTGGACTTCCATTCTGCCATGCCATTATGTTCTCGATCACCCTCGAAAATCGAGCCTCCCACACCGTCACAACTGCTCATGGAGCGTTCTCTTACTCCGGACAATGTCATTCTGCCCGCAGACATATCAAAACCAAAGTACTACGATGCCTGTCAGGACTGTCTGAGAGCCGAGCATGGAGACAATGAATTCCTAGGAACCACGTCACTAACTAATAGGCCCGGAAGTGGATTATTCTTGGGGTTTAGGTTTCTTGTTAGTCATATTGTATCAGAAATATAGGAGTGATAGCCGCCTCCGCTATGGAAGTACTCGCAGGACCAAATTTCTGGTCTGTATTCCTCACACCTGTTGAGATGCGGTCAGTCG